TACTATACTATGATAAAAATTAAAATAAAAAATTTAGAAAGAAAGAAACGAACACTCAAACAAATTGGAGCGATTGGTTGTCTTGTGAAATTTATGTGTTTTCAAGGTCTGTTTATTTAGTTTTTCCCTTGAGTTTTTGTTACAAATGTAAACTTATTGAATAGAATTTAGTTTTGCAATTTATTTCATTTCAAAAAAATTAAAGCTAATCGTTTAAACACAATTAAGCCACCTATCTCCACCTTATCAATATTTAAAACAAAAAATGAAAATTCATGATAACAAAAATCCGGTGATCTTATTAAAATATAGAGTTTGTGCAGGGTTGATTCATCCATCTTCTTCTCATTAAAATCATGTGTGGTTGGTACACTGCTAACAGTCCCTCACAATTCAAATTTAGAAAGTTTTTAAGTACTTAATGGGTGCAGCTCAGTTGGTAACTTGGCGTTGAGTTAGTGGGGTTGGACATGCGTTCGATTCCTGCTGAATGCATTCTTGGGGAGGGGGCTGAACTTTTAGCCATCACTGATCCCTCGCACTCCGGATTAGTCCCATAGCCGGCTCAAAGAGTCGAAGCTCGTGGAGATACCAGAGGGAACCAACTCGCCTCAAAGAGATAATTAGAGTTGGGTAACTCCAAAAAAAGAAATTTTTCAAGTACTCTGATTATTGATTTTGAACTCATTAATTATCTAATATTTTAAATTTCATATTTTGTTATTACTTTTTTTGTTTGTTTGGTGTTTTGTTAACTTTTTTTCCTTAAGATACAGGTTAAAATGTTTAAAAAATTATTGTTATTTATTTAATCATCGTAATTATTAAAAGATAGTTATTTGCTTTATATTAATAATAATTTATTTTTTAACCCGAGCCTTAAAAATACTGTTGAGAATTTATTTCATAAAAATTTATGATGAAAGAGTATTTATCTCACTATCATATAACAAATATGCGCAATTATGAGTTATTAGGTATATCCCCTTTAATAATGGTCAATGGTTATAAACAAATATGCGCAATTATTAGTTATTAGGTATATGCCTTTTAATAATGGTCAATGGTTAGATTTAAAATCCAGAATATGCGTTGTATTCTATCTGGGAAATACAATTTTTTGTTGTAAATCCTTGATTTGTGACAATCATTTTGAACTCTGAATAATCTTAGTAGAGTTGGTACACATATTAAAGTCAATTATGAGAATGTCAGAAGAATATTGAGAAAACATGTTTAGGCAAAATAAAAATAAATTAATTTATTGTATTTTAAATAAAAAATTATAAATTTATATAGATATTTTTGCATCATTCATGTCTTGGTTGGGCTATATTTATATATTTGTATGTGTCACGTTCAAATTGGACTCACAGGTCATGATCCATTTAGACGTGACCCATTTAGGCGCGACTCACGTAAAGGTGACGCTTACATGGGACGTGACCTGTGACTTCAATTTGAGCGTGATATTATGCAATAAATGTATAATTATTTTTAAAATAACAATAAATTTATAATTTTTTATTTAGAATATAATAAATCAATATTTTTGCCAACATGTTTACCTATCTTTATGTTCCCAGGATGAAGAAACACGTGAATCTTTCTGAATGCTGAATACATCTCCTTTTTCATTTCCATTTTCCCACAACGAAAAGTTTGAGGCTGGATGGTGGGGTGTACTGGGGTGTACTGTCTATTCCTACCTCTATTTTCTTTTTGGTTTTAATCTTATTACGAATAATTGTATCAAAATATATTTTGTCCTTTCTGTTTTTATCTTATTGCGAATAGTTATATCAAAATATATTTTGTCCTTTCTCTAGTGCTTTGCCTATAGCAACTGTACGAAACTAAGAGTTGCTTCAGGTAATCGGAGAATGAACTCGTCCCATTTTACAAGTGCTTTTTTAGAGACAAACCTTAATATTGCATGAGTTCCTTCAACTAAATGCATCAAATTTGTCTATCCCTATATACATTGAGGAAAGTTGTGGTTTTTTACTTTTCTTTTCTGAAAAAGACAATTATTAAATGGGCAGGTTATATATTGCCGATCAATTTAATTTTCTTGTTTTTATTGTTACTTTTGTACAATTGGATTATATTTAAATTAATAATTTCCAAATATATTGATTTTCTCTTCTCTTTCTTCTCTCTTCAAATAAATTCTCTCTCTTCTGTTTCATTAGTCAAATATTCTCTTTTCTTTTTTTTAAGGGGTGGCTTTTTCTACATTCAATTCAATGTAGATAACTTATTTACATTGAATCCAAAATGATGTCGTTTTGAAGCGGAAATCAAGGTATTTTTATAATTATAATTTATTTCAAGGTTATAATAGTATTTTTCATTATAATTTTTTAATTTTTCAACTCAAAACGACGTTATTTTGGAAGCGAATGTAAATAATTTATCTCCGTAGAAACATTAAAGCCTTTCTTTAACCAAACATTCTCTTTCTTTAATTAAAAATTTTCTCTTTCCTTTTTACTTGTTTGATTGCTGTGAGTGAGTGAGAGTAAGAACAATTAAAATGGATTATATTAGAGGTGCACATTGTCAAGATTAAAGTGAGAGAACATTTATTTCAAAAAAAATAAAAAAATAAAATTGACATTGCATATGTTGGAGATGGCTAACCTTTCTTTCCCATAAATTTTTGCCTTTGTCCTTAGTGTTTTAGGTTTACTAAATTGTTTGTTTTTCAGTTATTTTAATGACAATGAAAGTAATAACAACTAAAAAATGTGAGAATGTGTGAAGTCAAATTAATGGGACCTTGCAAAATGTAGTCTAGAAATTCTCCAACGAGAGAAGAAAGGGAGAGAGGAAGAGGGGAAATCAATATAATAGAGAGAGAAACAAGAGGTGTAATTTGTTAAGAAAAGAGAGAGAGATACAAAATCCAGGGCGAGAAACAAAGAGATAGAGGTGTGTAACTTTTTTTTTTTTTTTTGGTATCCGGTGTGTAGCTTTTTTTATTAATATAAATATTAACATAAAAAAGAAATACCAACATAATAATTTCTTAGATTGAAAAAGATCTAGGACAAAATGAAGTTTTAGTAATAGAACCTTCTTTTCTTTTATATTTGAAAACTCAAAAAATGGGTAGCTTTAATGTTTTTACAGTGGATATAGATAAGTTATCTACATTCGTTCTCAAAACGACATCGTTTTGGGTTGAAAAATTAAAAAAATATAATAAAAAAGACTATTATAACCCTGAAATAAATTATAATACAAAAATACCTTGATTTTCGTCTCAAAACGACGTCGTTTTGGGCTCTCTACATTGACGGTAGAAAAAGCGAACTCCTCAAATAAATTAAGAAAGTTAATATTAAACAATTTAGCAGTGATAATTTTATTTTGAAGACTTAAATGAGTATTAAAAAAATCACTCCACAAAATTTATTTATATATAAAATTAAACTCCGTCAAAGTAAAATCTCGCGTTTAATAATTTAAAATAAGTTATGGCAACGGGCTCATTACATTGTTTTTTTTTGTGTTATTTATTTAGATTATAATTTTTATAAAGGGGAGAGACAGAGAGAGTTAAACTTGAAAGAGCGGTTTTAATAATAATACCACTAAGTTTTATTTGTTTATGTGATTTTTTTAACTGATTTTATAAATCTTTGTTATAATAAAAGGAAATATGCAGATACACTCTCTGAATTTTATCACGTTTAATGATCATAATAAGTTTTTGGAAATAACATCTGTCATTTTAAGGAATATATGTAAGCTTATATCATATTAGATCTTAACCGTTGATTTCCGTCCATCAACGGTTATAATTTATTGGATCAAAATTATTAATTAATTAATAATAAATTTAGCCTATTAAGTTTGACCCAATAGATTATAACCGTTGATGGACGGAAATCAATGGTTAAGATCTAAAATGATATAAAGTTATATCTTTAAAAGAATAGATGTTTTTCCCTAAGTTTTTTCACATAAAAAAATGTTTAAAATATTTTTGAAACTTGCAAACAAATCATTCAATTCACTAGCCAAGCCAGCATACTTTATAATGTAATTTGCAAGATGTAGTAACCCTCCATCTGTCTATATTTAAAAATATATATTTAATCTATGATTTTTTAATAAATATTGAATAGTTAAAAATGAAATTAAATTACAAAGGTAAAAATATTAATTTTTTAAAAAGATATGAAGAAATTAAACTTTGTGAAGTATATTATTGAATGGGTTTTATAAGAGTTATGTTGTAGGAAAAATGATTGTGTAATGTTATAGAGATTCGTTTTGTGTGCCACAGTTTTTTTTTTTTTGTTTCAAAAAGTGTGGGCCCCACAAAATATTGTGTGTGTAGGAAATTTTGTTGTGTCATGTTAAATGATAAATGCAAACTCCTTATTGAATATGTGTAAAGTATGTACTTAACAATTTATTTTATTTACAAGCGAGTTTGTTTAAATAGTTTGGAAAAGTTTAACCACCACTCGATCGTAGCAATTCAAAAGTTTGTGATTACTTATTTTAAACAAAATAAATATAATAAAGACAGCTTTTATGCATTTATTCCCAATAATAAACAATCAAAATGAAACATCTATTATTAGTGTAAAATCAAATTTCAATTTTGGTACGAGTATTTGGATAACTTTGTTCTAATTTTATATTCTACGTGTATTAAATGCTCCACTTTTTACATGCTAGCTCACAACCAATATATAATAATTATATTGGGTCAAGGTCTTAACGCAGTGGAAGTTACTCTTTTTCCTTCTTAAATTTTTTCCAAGGTAACAAAAATGTGCTTGCCCCTTGGAAATTGATCAATGCCTATTGTACTGCATGCATAAAAAAGAGCATCAGTTTCTTAAGAGCTACCAAATTCAATTACCCCAGCAAGTTATAAAAAAAGACATAAGACTTGAAAAACCGAAGGAGCAAGGCCATTTTCAATTTTTAGAGATATCAAGAAGCTAACGAAGTTTTACAAAGCACCAAGTCCCATGGCCAAAGAGAATAGTGTTGTATCTCAGTTTCCCAACAATTCACAAGTGCAGGGTGAAAATTTTGATCATCAAAATCTTGTAACATTAGTAGCAGATAAAAGAAAGGTGGAGAATACCGAAGGACTTGAGGGCACATTTTCTGCGTTTCCTGGATGGTATGCTGATGAATCTTGGCCAGGTACTCTTACTTCATGCCAAGTTTCTCTAGGGAGGATTCGATTATTTATACTGATTTATATGCTGTGACATCAAATTTATTTTATATTAGTATTCAAAAAAAAAAAATTATAGTTTTATGAGTAAATACCTTTTTTGGTCCCTGGCAATATCGACGAAATCCTTTTTAGTCCCTGACAATAAAAAAGGACCAAATTGGTCCCTAACAGTATGTAAAAAGGGCTACGTTAGTGATGGAGGAGTTGACATAAGGACTAATGTGGCCCTTTTTTCATAATTTTAGGGACCAATTTGGTCCTTTTTTATTGCCAGGGACTAAAAAGGATTTCGTAGATATTGTCAGGGACCAAAAATGGTGTTTACTCTAATTTTATTTGGTGTTTAATTTTCAAGTGGGCCTTTTTAGTATTTAGATACCCAATTGGTAGTGTTATTCCACGGCTGACTATGAAATCAATTTTATTTTTATATTTAATAATAAAAAGATAAAAGGTATAAAATTAATTTTATTTTTAGGATTTAGATACCCAATTGGTAGTGTTACTCCAAGGCGAAATCGATCTGTGATCACTGACTGGAATGAATTTTGACAGCAGAAGAGAGAGTTGTTAGACACAGATAGAAGGTTAGAGAGAATAAAGAGTAAAAATTAAGATTATAAGGATTGATTCTGAGCCATTAGATTTAATTCTGATCTAATAGTGATTAAGTTGGTTATAAAGTTGATAAACTTTTATAGTGATAAATATAAACCCTTCCAATATATATATATATATATATATATATATATATATATATGGTCGGAGAATTCTTTTCTCCTACCAGTGACCCTTCGATTTCAGTACAGTATTTTCTTTTATTTCGTTTTGTTTTTTAATAGATGCGGACTCATATAAGATGTGTCTATGGCATGAGAATTTTCACTCTCTCTCTCTCTCTCTCTCTCTCTATATATATATATATATATATATATATATATATATATATATAGGCTTATCATTTCTCAAGCTGCTTGAGATAACTTTGTCTTCGGCTACTAAATCGTAACCGTACAAAGATAGATCAATGGTGATTAAGGTAGAGAGAGAAAAAGAAAGTCATAACTATTCAAAGCTGAATAAATTAATATAAGAAAATAAGTAAACAAAACGACGTAATTTTTGGGTAGATGGAGATAAATATATCTCAAACTGTTTGAGAAATATTTCTCCCTATCTTTCTCTCTCTCTCTCTCTCTCTCTATATATATATATATATATATATATATATATATATATATATATATAAGGGCAGGTTATATTTACAAACTTTTTTGTTTACAAACTACACTATGTTCTCCCAGGAAAACACTGATTACACTACGTTCTCCCGGGAGAACATAGTGTAATTTGTAAAAATTTTCAAAAAAAATTTGTAAACGGATCCTTCCCCATATATATGACTTATCGTTTCACAAGTTACTTGAGATAACTTTATCTCCGGCTACTAAATCATAACAGTACAAAGATAGATAAATGGTGATAAAGGAAGAGAGATAAGAAGAAAATCATTACCATTCAAAGGTGAATCAATTGATATAAAGAAATAAATAAACAAAATGACGTAATTTTTGGATACATAGAGATAAATATATCTCAAGCTGCTTGAGAAATATTTTTTCTCATATATATGTATATAGGGTTCGCTTTTTCTATAGTCAATGTAGATAAATTATCTACATTGAGACCAAAATATATCATTTTAAGGAAAAAAATCAAGGTATTTTTATAATTATAATTTATTTCAGAGTTATAATAGTTTTTTTCATTATAATTTTATAATTTTTTATCCCTAAACGACGTCGTTTTGGGAACGAATGTAAATAACTTATCTACATTCACTGTAGAAACATTAAAGCGACTAGAATGTGAAAAATGATATATTTTTCATATATATCTTTTATATATGTATATGTAAGATTCTATTTCTATTATAGAATAAAATCTTCTATAAAATATATTTCGTTGTATACCAACCTATATTCTATTCATATAGTAAATATAATAATAATTTAATATATATATATGTGTGTGTGTGTATATGAGGTAGGATATTGTAACAACCAATTAGTGTTACTACCAATCAATTTCATCGTTAGATCGATTATGTTGATCCAACGGTTAAATTTATTTATATCTTTGTATGGTTATGATTTCTCATATTTAATGATTTCCCATATTTAATGTTTTCACATTAAATATGAGAAATCATAACCATACAAAGATGGAAGAAAGCATTAAATATGGAAAATCATAACTATACAAAGATGAAAATAAATATAAAGTATTAAATATGGGTGTAAGTGAAAATTTGAAACCATACGGGATTAAATGATAAATTATTTAAGCACAATAGGTCTAAGTAACAAGTTTATAATCACAGGAGTAGGTCTAAATAACAAGTTTATAATCACAGGAAGTCAAGTGATAAATCATAAAATCACAGTAGGTAAAAATAAAGTTTTCCCTTATTTTATTATAATGATATTGTAATTTCTTGGAATTTCACCAAGCAGTTGTTAGTAGCTACATCTTGCAACCACTGGTTAGCGGGAAGAAAGTGTGTTTGGTTAAGATTTATTATAATGCATATTCAAAATTCTTGTTGTTTAACACTGGTCACAATTTCCCCAACTATAATTTGTGAAGACAATGCTGCTTGGATTGCACAAGTTAGAGAAGAATATATCAAAGGAGATATAAGATCAAACATATCTCACCAAAAAAATTTCTGTACTCATGAATTCCAAGAAATCATCAGATTGATGTTAAACAAATGTGAATAATCCTGCCAATTTTTTTTACCAAATCACTACTGACATCAAGTTTTGAGAAATTCATATATAACATTGGTACGCGACAAGTACACAAGACTAATTAGCTCTAGCAGTATCTTTATGGTCCAATTAAGGGGAGTTATACACATTGTATTCTTCACTTTACCAAGTTTTTTTCACAAGAGTTTTTCTTGGAAATTTTTTAATGAGATAGTATAAGTTAACGTATAATAAAAGACGATGAATATGATACTCTTTTTCCTTCGCTATGTTTTTATCCCACTAAATACATTTTTTAGCAAGATTTTAACAAAGCATATTCATAGCGTATAGTCATCCAATTGGGGAGCGTTACAAAATATCCATGGATGACTTTAATTTGGATTTTGAAATGGTAACTAGAATTAGAATTCTAAAAACCGTTGCCATTTAACCATTTATGATTGTTCAATACCAGAGATTAGTTATCATTTAATGCTGTAATCCTATATATGGATACCATCATGTTCATGAGACTATACTTTTCTTGACACACATTTCTCATTTTCTTCTTGACTTTCTCCCTAATTTTCTCTCTAATTTCTACTTGATTTCTCTCATGCAAATTTCCCTCATCTAAACCTCTTAATTCATATCACATTATTATTTATTTGCAGCATTTTGTGCTATTAATTATCATATCGAATAATTGTACAGGAGCAGCACACATATACAAGATGGAAAAGGTCATATTCCAAGGGAAATCAGAATTTCAAGATATCCTTGTATTTGAGGTACTTGTTGTTCATAATTCGTTTCATATGCTATAAATATTAAGGATAATATTATGAAGAATAATGTATTTTATTTGATTATTAAATTAGTACAAATATTAAATAGAAAATAATTAAAGGGATACAACAAACCTCTAAATTTTTATTACCTACTAAACTAGGTTAAAAATCTTTTGCAAGGCACAAAATGAGAAAAAGACAACAACTCTTACTCCTTTTTTATCCCAATTTTGTAGCACATAACATAATACAAAAGGTATTATCATTGTTGGGCAAATTAGATCGACCTGGTCCGGTTCAGTCCTACCGAAAACCAGACCATTAACCAATTGCGGGCACTGCCCTACTTCTATAAATCTATCACCAATGATTAAGGCTTTGTTTGAGAGTTTGGAGGGGAACAAAAGGAAATGAATTCAAGGGAGAGAAAGGGGAAGAAATGAGAGGAAAATGAAGGGTATTTCTTTTCCTTGTTTGGAAGTTAAAACCCCCCAAAATATTTAAACTTTAATTTAATTTCTAATAAATTATAACCGTTAGATTGAGGGAAATCAACGGTTATGATTTGGTAGTAAGAAGTAGTAAGAAAAATAAGTAGTAAGTATAACTTTTCTCATTTATTTATATTAACTTTTTGGATAAATGGTGCTAAGTAGAGGTCTTTTTTAGCTTCTCTTTTTCTTATAACTAGAATTTAGGGCGAACAGATTTTTACAAAAACTCTTATAATAAAATGAGTTTTTTTATAATGAAAGAAAAAATCAAAAGCTCTTAAGCGATTTTCTTTTTAAATTGCATCAGTTTTTTTTTTTAAATTAATTAATTTTTTTTTTGAATTAATGGTGCTAGGTGTCGAACCTGGCTCCATCACTTGCATGGAAATAAATTCAGTGGTCCCTTTCTCTCTCTCCTCCTCCCCCTCTCTCTCAGGGTGCATTGGGCTGGGAGCGTGCAATATTTGCTCCACTTGCATAGCTCCTTAGCCAACCATTAAGGCACGTGTTTCTACTTATAATATGATTCTTTTTATATTTATTATATTTTTATATATGTATCTGGTTCAATCAGTTTAATCAATAACCTATTAGTTGAATTAATAATCCATTGACCGAGTAACTTTATTGGGTAGATGACCAATCCAAGTTTAATAACGTTGGATTATAATAAACTTTGAGTTATTCTTATATTAATATACCTCAAATTTTAATCCTATGCATTAGTCGTCAAAATAACACAAGAAATTATAGTGTGACTCAAAGCACGTGTGTTATACTCTTTTATTTATACTATTCCTTCAAAATGCATAAAACAAAAAAAAATCTTTTTCTTTCTTTTACATACATTCATGTCACATGTAAGTAAAAAAAAAAAAAGTTGTGCTCAATTTTGGTAGTGATTTTTCATTAGTAAATAAAACATTTGCAAATATTACATTAAGTGTTTCATCATTGAGGCCGCCTCATCTTGGATTTGGATGAAAAACTTTGATTATTTGTTTTTATTTTTCCTTAAGAACCTAAAAGATAGTTAAGAGAAACATTATTTATGTGGCTATCCAGCAGTTCGATACAGAAATAGTTTGTGTCCATTTCTCTTATAATACTGTCATTTGTTTAAGAAATATAAGTGGATCTAAATCTGTCTGCCAAATTATTTGATTATATTTTTCCTTTGTTGTGTTTGAATAAAAAGTTGATGACTATTTGTGCAGTCATCAAGACATGGCAAGGTTGCAATTCTGGATGGGTATATCCAGCTGACAGAGAATGATGAATTTGCTTACCAAGAGATGCTCACTCACCTTGCACTTTGTTCCATTCCAAATCCAAAGAAGGTTTTTTCTGTTCTTCATTCTCTATTCCTCCCAAGTGAACTAAGAGCCTAGCTAATGGGAAAAAAGAAACATTTCTGAAAGAACCAAGAGAGAAAATTTGTTTAACAAGGGGTTTATGAACATTACAGGTGCTGCTAGTTGGAGGAGGAGATGGTGGAATTCTTAGAGAGATATCTCGCCATTCTTCTGTTGAGCATATTGATATATGTGAAATAGACAAAATGGTGATTGATGTGAGTCTTTATGTTAACATTCCTAAGTTCCACCTTTTATGAACTTTGACAGAAATGTATTAAAAATAAAAAAGAACCCTTATTAAAATTTTCTGCTTGTATATGCATTGCTTTGAAGAATATATTCTAAGAAAAACCATACTAATTTCTTAATGCTTTTGAGTATACAGGTTTATAAGATGTTTTTCCCGGATATAGCAGTTGGTTACCAGGATCCTCGAGTGCATGTTCATATCACTGATGGTAAGAAGTTAAGCCATTTGTTTTCTAACTTACAAAGCAAACATTTCTCTATATATTAAATATCTGACAAATGTATTCAGGAATTGCCTTCATCAATTCTGCTACTGAGGGCACTTATGATGCTATTATATTGGATGCTTTCAACCCAATGGGTAAAACTATCTTTTCTTCCTGTCAACTTAAAATTGCAGCTATAGTGAGAAAAGAAAATTCTCATTTTTAAAAGCCTTAAAAGAAATAAAAGAAGTTCAATGTCATGCAGGACCTATTGCAGAAGTGCTTGCAGATAACTGCTTCTTGGAGTCAGTAGCAAAGGCTCTTCGACCCGGTGGAGTGCTGTCTGCTCCAGCAGAAAGCTTGTGGCATGAGAACTTTATCATTGCAGATACCATAGCAGATTGCAAGAAGATATTCAAGGGCTCCGTCAACTATGCTTGGACCACAGTTCCTACATATGCAAGGCATTTCTTATTAAACTTTTATGTTTACCTTTTCTCATTTCTAACTCTCCCCCAAAAATGGGGTATTATGAAAAGTTTTTGTTAAGAAGTGTTTCTTTGTTTTGGTTTACCAGTGGTGTAATTGGATTTATGCTTTGCTCAACGGAGGGTCCCCCAGTCAACTTCAAACACCCAATAAATCCACTGAATCCAGAGCACAATGGGGTAGCAAAGGGACCTCCCAAGTTTTATAACCCAGAGGTAATCTATTGAAACGATTCTAATTCAAGGATTAAACTACTTATTTGTTTTTCTTTGTTCTCTTTTCAACTAACTTAATTGCCTGTTCCTCTCTTGTTTTTTCTTTTTTGTTACTACAGATCCATGCTGCTGCATTCTGTCTGCCTTCTTTTGTGGAGAAGGTTATTGATCCAAAAAAGACATTGACAAAGAACTCTGAGTAGTGTTTAGGAATTTCTGTTAAACTTTGTATTCACAAAGAACTCTGAGTATTGTTTGTTCTTCATATCTATGGGTGAAAGGATGCCCATGAAGATAAATTTAATGTTATTAATAGCTACATGAAGCTTTATTCGAACAACTTACAAGTATATTATGACGGGAGACAAATATCAAGTTTCTACATTCAATCACTTTGCAATACGATACAGATAACATGGTACATTTATAGGAGCAATGGATGCTTAACATCACATATACCTGGTGAGTGATTGTATAAGTTACTGGCGGCAATATTCTAGCTACCCTTGCAACTAGATTGCATTGACAAAAGCTGAACATATCTCTGAAAGAGTAAACACTGTTAAAGAGGAATTTGATTTGTATCAAAATCTTTTGGGTACATGGACATTATACACAAACCATAAGGTAGAAAGAAATAAATAGCTAAAAAAACAAGAACACCAAGATCAGCCTCTTCACCAACTGCTGCACGACGTGGATTGATCCAGTATATCTGTATTGCACACCATAAGCAGTATAAGGAAGCTATGGACAAGATAAGTAGCATTGACTGATGTGACTTTTTCTTTATGGAGTTTGAGGCACTTGCTCTGCATGGTAATGAAGAAGAAAGAGAGAGAGAATATGTCAAAATCATGCTGTGTCTACAATATAAACTTGATGGTTAACATGGAAAGTTGCAAAAACAAACACCTGTTGAGGTAAAAAAAGCCTCCAATTAAGCAAGCACATAAGAAGCCCACTACAATAACAGCATCTGGGTTAACCGGTGCTCTGCTTTTCCACCAGCCAGTGCTCAAAATCCAAGTGTAAGTGGTTGTTTTCCCATTCTCCTATATGATTTTGAAGATAATATGTGTCAGTCAGTTAGGAGTGTATAAGAGTAAATTTTCAGGACGAATTGTAACAAAGTGGCTGCAGCATTTGGCTTTCCTTTGGACATCGTTAGATAATTTGCAAACCAGTAAAATTCAGCTGAATACCAAGTTTCTGCCTTAGTTTCCATCAAAAGAATAGCCAATAGCACTATACTTGTACTTTGTAAATGCTAGAATGAAGATCATAAAATTCAAGTTTTTACTTCAGAATTTAGGTAATGAACTTAAGGATGGCCAAAAAAAAAAGGTAGTGAGCTAAAGAGAGACAAATATGTTAACCTTATGAAACAAAAATACAAGGCAAACCAAAGTTTAAAAGCCATAAACAGGGTCAATTGCTACAATATGGTAGGCAAATAAGGTTCATTGACCCTTTAAAGACCATACACGCAAGTAGAATAGCAAGCAGTTCAGTATATTCAATATAAAATTGCACGGGAATCCTGGAGAGCAGAAATTAAGGTAAATGGAATGGATCATGACATTATCTTCTTAGATTAAAAATCTTAAATTGCTCTTTTCCATTCACATAATTTAAATGAGATTTCAACATTTTTCCTAGCGTTTCCATTATTTCAGTTGAATTATTTGACTGATGAGATTGGTTTAATATTCTCAAATCACTAAAATGGAAGGAGTACTACGAAAAGGATTGAAACCCAAATATTAATTGAATTCATTATTTGATTTTACTGATTGAAATAACCAAATGTTGATAATACTTGTAACACATAGCATATAAGAGTAAAATAAAACTGCAAACAATCTAACATCCCCTAGTTGGCCTAATATAAATGTTGGTTCCCCATCTAGGTTGCAGGGACAACTTGAGTGTGTAGGATGCTTTGTTGCTTGACACAATTTTGGACATGACATCTAAGATGCGTATGGCTCATCTTAAGCGTATATATGTGTTGTTATCATTTTGCAGTTTATGCATCCTGTTAATGCTCCACGATATGTAAATCTCAGAGACTTCTACTAACAAAAGGCAAGGAGTTAGGCTTAATCTGCACTTAACTTCCACCGATGCATCTAATGCCAACGAATGACTTATGTAATCTAAAAACATGAAAGTAGATTGAAACACAAATCAAAAGTAAATCGCTGTTTCTCATTATAACAACCAATCAGGCCAAAATTGACAGGAAAAAATGTAACAGAACTTGTTATATAAAAGTTATATCAATTTATATAATGAAGGAAATACTAAACCCATGCGACTCTTGGAAATAATCAAGTGTGAGTAAGTGGTGGTGAAGTAAGTTCCACATAGTCTAAACATAGACCAAGTGATGACTATATAAGTGCAAAAAGACCCATAAACTTACAGCTGCAAGGTTTTGGGTTGAGATGTGGTGTCGGTTCACTTATTATGGTTTGTCATTTGGCCCATTGGTGGATGTACCCTTTGCAAAGGGTTTTGCGCTCCCCCAACAATCAAAATATAGACGCTTATTCATCTATATGTGAAAAGCCATACATTTTGCTTCATTTAACATTAGTCAAGAAATTTGTTGTAGCGGACACAAAACGGTTGGCAACATAAATGGTGTCTACATATTACCTCAAACAGATCATCTAGAAAAAAGTGAGTAAAAGAGCCAGCTGATATCAAGAAGAAGCATTGCGTCCTTGTAAGCGGCACCTGCAATATGAAGTTAATGATATTGTAAAACCTAACGGAATTTTCAGCAATATCAAATAAACGTCTAATGAACAAAATGAAACTTTATAAAGATCACTCCAAAAAATAGCTATCCATTAAAACACACACAAGCAGACGCTTTTACAAATCTTATAAACATATGATGTTAAATACTTCACATTTACTACTAACATATTACATAGATAATGAAAGAAACAAAGTTAGCTGATTCAACACCCCTTTCCCTGCAGAATAAACAAAGAGATAAAACAATAAAGGGTTAAAGCAAAGAATTAAATAGAAGGTGAGATTCTCACCCTGGAGACAGAATCAAGAAGCTGTCTTTGAACAAGATAAGAGGATATCCTAGAGTAGAGAAAACAAAGAGGAAGTCCCAAGATAAGGATGTAGTACAAGGGATGGTGGATGAGATCGGCCAAGGTAGATCCCAGAGTATCAGCTGGTCCACCCAGGACTGAACCAAGCCACTCAGAGAAGGAACCAATATCTGGTCCAAAGAAGGCGTTGACTGTGTAGGTGAGTGTGTGATGGGGGCTAAACCTGCCATTGGTTATGCTGGTCATAGCCAAGCCTGAGCCCATGGCATACATCAGGTGAGGACCAGGACCTGGCATACCCTCCAATCTAATCTCAGATGTTGCAACAAACAATACTGAAAACACCCCACAAAAAGTGATATATGGATGTGGCTACCTGCACACACAGGTTTAGGATGTTTCACAAACTGAGGTAACTAGATGTCTGAGAAGGGTAGGGGTAAATCCAATAAACTGTGTTAGTTATGTTGGATTGCAGTTACCGGTTACCCCTTTGTTCCAGTTAAGGTAAAAGTGACACCGTGTATTTTTTTTTTTGGTTTTAAATTGTACAAGCACCTCCTCTATAAATAGAAACTTACTGTTCGTTAAATTACCTCATGACATAGGCATTTGGTCAATTTCATTGAATTGGTCTGAGGGACATGCTATCTGCCTGTTGAAGGAATTTCCATGAGATCGATGAGAATGAATTAGAGATTTCCTTTCTATTCTCCTAACTGTTTAGTTTCATGATCTTTGTATGCTAAGAATATATTGGCTAATTTTTTTTATTTTTTTTTGTGAACTATACTTGGTAATATTTGGTGAAATTGCACATAAATTTTTCTTTATGATAATCATTTACATTTTATCTTTGTTTCTAAATGCACCATATATGTGTATGTATATATTCATGATCCATCTGAATCTTACCATTTATTAGGGTCTCAATTATTATTCCCCAAAGAGGCGAGTCCGTTGGCTGCGGTGTCCTGTTAAGTCACAGTGGAATTGCCATGAGTTTTTTTAAATGCTTTGGATCCAAATGATAGCTATTTGTTTTTTGTTTTTGTTTTTTTTGTTTTGGGTTGGATGACACTAACAGTAGTCGGCAAAAAAATTAAAATATTGTATTTAAATTAAATAATTACGCATTTAATGTTGTTTCGTAAAAAATTACACATCTACTGCACAATGTGACGCCAGTTTTGGACGTCACATGTGACGCCCCATTGGGGCGTCTTATCCATGGGAGAGACGCCCCAATGGGGCGTCACATGTGACGCCCAGAACTTGCGTCACATGTGTGCTCTATATATTTCCTCACCCCCTCCATTCAATTCACACCTCTTCTCTCACTCTTCATATCTCTCTTCTCCACCAACATTCCTTTATCTTTAATTTAGTATTTGAATTTTAGTTGTAATTCTATTTAAAAATGCGCTCAAATCCTGATTCTATTCGTGTTGTGTTATATTACAATGGTAGGAAGGTAGAAGGTCGACGATGTGTCATATTCGAAGGTGAAAAAAGGCCGACACGTATCCGACGCAACACAACCATTGGCGAATTGCATCAGAGAATTCGACAGAAGTTAAGTCTTCAAGACAACCAATGTATCACTGAGATCACGACAAGGGTGTGGCAAGGTGATAAATACATTAGTTTGAAAGTGCTTGACGATGAAGACTTGGAGATGACAATGGAAGAATTTTGCAACCAGTCAAGGACAGATTTTCTAGAATTGTATGTCGACATCGTTGCAACAGAGAATGCTCCCATACCGGTGAGGTCAGTTTATTTAAATTCTCCCCGTCTTCCAGCTTCTCCTGCCGCTCATGCGTCTCCAGTTGGTATCTTTTCTGAGGGAGATGAAAATGATCCGACTTGGGAAATGCACGACGAAGATGACGATGATGACGATGAAAATATGGCAATGGAAGAACATCTTCTGGCGGAGGATGCTAGTGCTTCAGAAGGAGATGAATCTCGTGAGATGGGTGCGTCTGAAATTTCAATATTCCATCAACCAGTCGTCGCGCAAATGCCGCAGTTGAATGACGTTACGTCTGCTCCATTTGGTATTCCACAAGAAGGTAATTGTTCCCATTTGTATACTGCGTGAATAAATAACTGATTTAATACCTGAATTAGTAGTAATTTCGTATTAAAAAATTATAATCCGCAATTGCAGGTGACACAGATGTTATTCCTTTTTGGGAAGGAATTCCGCATTATTCTTACATTGATTGGAGTTATCAGAGCGAACAAGAATCATGTACTGATGGTTCGGTGTCTGGATCGGCTTCAATACAAGGTCTGTGGCAACTGGGTGACATGTTATTTGTCAATCAAGAATTTGCGAAAAAAAAAGATGTCCAAATGGCACTTAAGCACAACCTTATTAGGGATCAAGAAGCCATTGTAATTGAGAGCACGCCTGCAAAGTTGTCCATGAAATGTTGTGCGTACGATCAAGGTTGTCCGTGGCGCGTAAGGGCGATCAAACCGGTGTTTTATGAAAATTGGAAAATAACGAGATGGGGTGGAAAACACGAATGTGTGAATGAGCACATTTCCCAGGGTCATAGACAGCTCGATGCGGACGTTATTGCAGATCTCGTGATAGGTACCTTTTTGTATTTTAAATGTGTGATTGACCACAAATGTGTAATTAAATTCGTTCGATGTTATCGAGGCACTGATATCCTCTTCAATGCAGGGATGATAAAGTCTGAACCATCTGTGTCAATCTCTTTGGTGCAAGAAAGGATAACTGCTAAATATGGCTTTCAAGTTTCGTACAAAAAGGCGTGGTATGCGAAGCAGAAAGCGATGGAAATTCTGTACGGTGATTGGGAGGAATCGTATGCTTTTTTACCAAGGTGGTGCGAATACATGCTTCGCTTTTCTCCAGGTTTATTTTATCATATACAAACTAATGATCTTTATGCCGAGCAGAGCTTAGTTTCTGGAAAAAAAAGTTTTTCATCGCATTTTTTGGACGTTTAGACAGTGTTGTGAGGCGTTCAAATTTGCCAAACCCGTCATCCAAATTGATGGAACACATTTATATGGAAAGTACAAAGGGAAATTGTTGGTGGCCACAGCCCAAGATGGTAATAATGAATGTTTACCGATCGCATTTGCCATCGTAGAAGGCGAAACTTTGGAAGCATGGGATTATTTTCTCGTTAATATTCGTGCTCATGTGACTACGATGTCAAACATATGTTTGATATCCGATTGGCATCAAAGCATAATATCTGCAGTGGAAAATAACCCTACTTGGCAGCCGCCAAATGCGTATCACGTATTCTGTATTCGTCATATTGCAAGCAACTTCAATCAAAAGTTTCGAAATGAAGATTTGAAGCGGATGTTACAGAATTTAGGTATACTCATTGACTGAATGCTTAATTATTTCTTTCCATTATGACTGTCAATTTATGTTTAATTCGTTTATGTCCAATTTGTGCAGGTTATACTCCAGCAATGGTTGATTTTGAAAGGAATCTTGCGAGTTTCCGTGAAAGTAGTCCTCAAATTGCTGAGTGGATAGATGCGATTCCTAAGGAAAAGTGGTCGCGTGCCTACGATATTGAAGGACGAAGGTACGATCATATGACAACAAATTTGGCTGAATCTGTCAATAGGGTTTTGAAGGGAGCCAGAAATATGCCTATAACAGCATTGGTTAAGCATACATATAGCAGATTGGTTGCATATTTTGTTGAGAGAGGAACAAATGCTCTTGCACAACTTCAATCAGCTCATCGTCACTCCAAACATGTTGTTGAATTGGTCAAGAAGAACCAGGTAGATGCAACAGGCCACCACGTTCGTGCATACAATGTTGAACATACTGTATTCGAGGTTGACGCAGGTTGGGAACGTTCATATTCTGTCAACCTCCCACAGAGATACTGTCAGTGTGGAAAGTTTAAGGCCTTTAAGTATCCATGTAGTCACGTTGTTGCTGCTGCGTTAAGTGTTAGGCAGTGTGCGTTCACTTACGTTGACGACGTCTTCTTGATAAATAACTTGGTCGAGGCTTATTTTTTTCCGTGGGAGCCAATCGGAAACGAGGAAGCAATACCTGAAATTAGTGGTGCAAAGATTATTCCTTATTGTACTATGTTGCGTGCAAAAGGTCGTCCAAAGTCAACTCGTATCCGCAACGAGATGGATGAAGTTGAGACAAGCCAGAGCCGTATCAGGTGTGGACTTTGCAAGGAACGCGGCCATAATCGTCGGCGATGTCCAAGTCGTGGGAGAAACGAATGATTTGCATATTATGTTCATATTTTGCTATTGGTTATGTTATTGCATGAATTGTAATGTCCGTTATGTTGGACTTTTTACTTTCCGTTTATGTATGTTTTTAATCTTAAATTATTAATTAGCTAATGTTGTTAGTTACCGTAATATAAATGCGCAAAGAACGATAACCAAAACATAGTGAATAGTCCAAATAATATAATAATGTAGCGTCCACAATATAACAACATGCTACACTCATATGACATATACAAAAGAACAAAATAATAACAATATGAAACAGTCCACAACATAGTGAATAAACAAAATGTCAATGAAACTAGGACCACGGTGGTCATGGCCTATGTCGTGCATCCCTATCTGGCAGTATACGTCTGTCCCAGACTGGGTCACCCTGATGGTCCTGTGGAGGTGGAGTGTGGAAGTCATCCATCGCCGCACGGATGAAATCATCTGATGGTCCTGCACTGCTGCCCGGCACATCAAAAGGGGTGTGTCCCTGACTGTGAGAATCCGTGGCTAGAGTCTCCCCACTGTCATGGCTCTCTGCAACAAGGCCTACAGAGCGATACAACTCCATCGTGTCCTCTGCAGACCAAAAGGGGTAATCGGCATCAAGTCCCTGTGAATAGGGCTGGAAATCAGGCTGTGAGGATGCCGGATCCGCTCCTGCTATAGCCATCGGACTAGCCTGGAAAACTGGCTCCTGCTCGCTCATGTAAGGGTGCTCAGACGCCGCCTGACTTGGACCTGCCGCATACTGCGATCCGTGATGATAAATCGGCTGTGACCCGTGAGTAGGACCAAATGTTGGAGGTCTAAACCATCCCTGAGTCTCGACCACTGGTCTAGGTGCTATAATCGGGACAGGCTCAGCAGCAACTCTCTCACGTGTACGTCCTAATCCTCGTCCTTCCCGTCTATTACGAGGAACATCCACGATCAACTGAGGATCAGGCTGAGTCTGCACGGGGGGTGCCTTAGGTCCAGGCTCATCAACTCGTGAACTCTCACGAAACATCCCAATAATCCGGCCTATCTCCTCGTGGATATACTGTAGTCTAAATCGAGGAAACTCCTCCGCCGTTGTTGCATGATACAACATTTCAAGACCGTCAATCTGCATATTATGAAAAAATGTTAGAAATGTGAAACAAATGTAAAATAAGTACAAAACTCACCATGCGCCCTATCTTTGCTGCCCTCCGAGATATGTAGCGCTTTCTCCTCTCTCTGTACCACTCCATGTACGCATGATTAGGTGACATCAAACCATATAATGGCGGTGGCAGTACAATATGTTGAATCCTAGTATTCCATCGATCAATGTGAGCCCTGAGCTTACGTCTCCAGTTCTCTTCAACCTTCCCCCGTAGAGTATAATCATGTATTCCTCTCAATTTTCTAGATTTTTCCGGGATGGGTTGATTAAGACCAAACTGTCGCATGCACCTATCCGGTTGACATGCCTCAACTGTGTGGAAGTAGATAATAGGTGTGGGAGCTAGCCACAAATACTGCTGCTCTGGAGTCACGTCAAGCCACTCATATTCTATATACGGCTGCCACACCACCTACAAACAAAATGTGAAACAATATATAGAGTTACAAAAAAAAAATAATCCCATAGACAAATAACAACATCGTAAGTATCTAACACCAAACCTCATCTCTACAGAGTGTGTCCAATGTTGCCCGATAATGGGTGACCTCATGAGGTTTAAACTTTTGTACAACATTAAACCTGTCAATCAAAAACATTATCAACCATACATAATCGTCCAAAGTCAAGAAGTATACAGTTAGTACATACAGTATTAAGCATACATTATCGAAATCAAATGAAGTAAATAAATCATACCGGCATCCATAATGTGTGCCCGGCTGTGGATGAGGAGGAAGGGGTGGAGCAATGGTGGGAATCGTATCCATGCCCAAATTTGAAGGAGAATATGGCAACCACCCATGTCGCTTCGACGGGAATGTGTCACTTCACACAAATTCCTGAACAAGTGTGTCAAAACTGCAGATCCCCAGCTGAATCGGCCAATGTCCTCAAATCCTCCACCTAACAACGGGACAAGTCGGCAACCAAAATTGCTACCTCCAGACTTGTCCGCCAGCAACCAAGTCCCCAACATCCGCGCAATGTGAGCTTTTGTGAAGTAGATCTCGGCAGCATGATTCCCTTCATGATCAGTCCACCGGGTATAATGTCGATCCAAGAATGAGATGCAGAGGTCGCCAGAATGATGGAACTCACCGGCCTCTGGAACATGTCCAAAAACACCAGCACAAGCAGCGTGCCAATCCTCAGAGGTCGATCCGATGACGACAGTACCGTAGGTCGGCAAGCCCAAGATGCCTGCCACATCTTGTAAGGTGATCGTCATCTCACCTTGGGTCATGTGAAAGGTATGTGTCTCTGGTCTCCACCTCTCGACCAGAGCACTAATTAAAAATGTATCTATCTGTGATAAATTACGCAGTTATCACGTGTTAACGAATTACATTATTTAATTACATAAATACAAAATGACATAAATAACATACCTGGATATGTTGCATCCTGGCAACATGTACGAAACCCGCCTGTCTGAGGTACTCTTCCACAACCTGTGGAATAGCACCGGTAGGTGGGCCCCCTTGTGGCTTCCCACGCCTCTTCTTAATCTTTCTTACATGCTCAGTATTCCACACTCGCTGTGAAATATGACCTTTCTGCGTCCTCTGACGAAGGACCTCCCACCTGTAGGGTCCAGGTATGATCCACATACTGGGATCGGTGGTCTCTTCATCCGAATCAGATCCCGAAGAAGATGATGACTCAGCCATTATCCTTAACTAACTACAAAGTTATGCACTCCCGCATTAATAACATCATACATACGAAATTTACAAAGTCTCTAACACTATTTATAAATCACTAATTAATATGCTAAACCCTAATACATAATTAAAAATCAGTAATAATAATAACTACGTAATAATAATATTACTATATCATTACAACATTCATAGCATGACACAAAATTTCTAAGTGACTATCCTAATGTTCTAAGTCTCTAATATACAATCAATCCTAACATGTATTACTAACTAGCACTGTAATTTAAATGTATACATATAAGGTATTATGACCTTACCTACGTTGGCAGAGCTTCGCTACGAACCGCGGTTAGAGAGAGGTTGGAGAGAGGTTAGAGAGGTAAATGAGTAAGGAGTGAAAAAAGGAAAGTGGGGTATATATAGGTTGCACATGAGACGCCCTCTTTAGGCGTCACATGTGACGCCCAAAGAGGGCGTCTCATTGTGCAACAGATGTGTAATTTTTAACAAAACAGCATTAAATGCGTAATTATTTTAATTAATTATATTATTTTAATTTTTTTGCCAACAGTAGTCCCAATCAGATACAACAAGGGCTTAAAACTTGGGCCCATTCCTATAATAAGCCCGCTGTAATAAGACTCAATTACTCGTATCTAACCACAAGTAGGGGTGTAAATGGACTAGGCCGGTCTATAGGGACTTACGGCCTAACCTATATTAGGCCAGACTAAGCCTATTATAAGTAGTAAAATAGAATAGGCTTAGGCTTTTAAAAAAAACTATTTAGAAAACAGGTCATAGGCTTTTTTTTTTTAAATGTCGGGCCTATAAGCCTATAGGCCGGCCTATATAATATTATTTATTTAAAATATAATAAATAAAATTATTATTTAATAAAATAATATTATTTTAGTTATTTATTTACTTATTGAATGTTTAATAGGCTTAAACAGGCTAACAGGCCTAGGCCAAAGCTTTTATTTTTTGAATATAGGTCATGTCAGACTTGTAATTTGGAGCTTACACAGGTTAACAGACCATACCCAATATTTTTTACATAGACTTGCCTATTTAAGTCAAAGCCTAGCCTAAACCAGCCCATTTACACCCCTAACCACAAGCAATCAATTTAATCCAAAAAATTAAGTTATAAAGTGAAGTTATATTAATGATTTTATATATCTCTGCGAAGCTCTCTCATAAGAAAACCGGTTAGGTTTGAAAGATAGCCTACTTGTGCTAAAAAAATTTACAAAGAAAATGAGAACGACAAGGATCGAATCGGGACATCGAGATTTTGATACCCAACAAGTAATACTACATTAATAATTTTATATATCTCTAATAATAATAAACAAGCAAAAATTAATGAGGATACCCAACAATCATTCAGTTGTAAGTGAAGAAAGGTGGAGCATCAGTTGTAAAGATCAATCGCTAGAAAAATGGGACAATACAATGTATTACGAATAGAATCTGCAAAGCATGTGCAGAGCATATTGTTTAAAAGAGAGTGAAAAATGATCGGGGGAATGCTTAACACGTAACACTTTTGGGCTAGTTTAACATTTTTCATAATAACACATCTTTAATCTAATGAAATATTTCGGTATGGAAAAATGAAAAAGGAAGAGAAGAAAAAATTGATGAAATAAGAAAGGCGTTGTTTGATTGTTGATTCAAGTTGGCGTCAAAGGAAATGAAACGAGGAAGCGAAAAGAAGGATAAGATTAGAACATTCGAACAGAGCGCGGGCGCGGGCCCACTCACTGTGTATTTTCCATGTTCCATTTTTTATTCACCTTCTAACGGATAAGGACTTCAGGAGGGTTTAATATGAAATTTTTTTTATCAGGAAAATATATTAACTAAGGATATGGTGGGAAATGAAGTTTAGTAGAAAAATAAAAAAAAAATTTGTTTGGTTGGCAAAAATTATATCGAAAAAATTGAGTAAAATTTTATCAATCTATATTTAATTAAAGGTAAAATATTAATAGAAAAATGAGTTAAAATTATCAAATTAACCATTTTCTTACTATATGTGCTTACTTGCACACCTTCACCAGATGTCCAAGAGAAGGTAATTTTGTCATATTTTTTATTCTCACTTCTCCATTTAGCTAGTCAACTTGCAATACCATCTCCAAAATAGCATTTTAGCACATTGTTTCATATCACTTTTTCGATTCAATTCTAAAAGTCTAGACAAGTTGATTTGCTATCCATATTCTTAAAAAACTTGAACCAAACATGGATCACAAAAAATCCTAATATGTGATGTCTGGGCATTTTCTAACAAAACTTGAACCAAACGTCTCCTTAGATTTGAGACCGCATGATGGTCTTTCTCTCTGTTCAAAATATTACTTTATATTAAAAAAAAAATAAGGATATTATATTTTTCATGTAATATGAGATAAAATTATTTCCAACTTACAAATAAAAATATACAGAGACCATGTGAAAAGAAGGGAGAAAAAAATATAAGTCTCACACATTTTTACGTGTGATAAGAGATAATTTTATTTCCTATAATACGAGAGACATTAATCAAAAAATCGTAACACTGTCTTAATAATATAATTATTATTAAAATTGTTGAAAAACCAAATATCAATTAAATAAAGTCGACGACATAAAATTATGCATAATTTTATATGTTTAAATATGAATTAGATTATGTTATAAAAATAAATAAATAACTAGATACCCCAAGATGCCGTGATTATTTCTCACATGGCAATGGATAGACGCATGCCCTTGCGTCATGTTTTATTTCTTAAGAGTATTTTTTTTATTTAATACTTGAAAAAATTAATCTCGTGAATTCAATTAAATGCTGAAGACAAAATCCTCCTCGAATAATATATATATATATATATATATATATATATATATATATATATATATATATATATATATATAATTTATTATTTCTCATATTATAAGAGATAATTTATCTTCTATATATACATAAAAATGTATGGGATCAATATTTTTTTTCCTCTTATTCTCATATGAGCCTCACATGTTTTGAGATAAAATTTATTTCTTATATCATGAGTTATATTAAACTCACCCATATATATATAGGGGAATATTAGTCTTATGTTATATGGAAGTAATTCTTTCATGTTATAGAGAACAGTGTTTTAAAACTCGGACAGGTCATCGAACCGGTCGAGGTACTGGGTCACTGGTTCAACCGGATTGAACCGGTTTTACTGTTCACATATTAAAAATATAAAAATATTACTTATATTAATAAAAATTCACATAAGAAAACTATTTGAGCTTCAAAAAATAAATTGGTTTTCAATGATAGCAAATATTATATACTTCTAAGCTTCTAGCTTTAGACCGTTGAGATGAGATCATGAGACCATCAGTGTTTATCACCACTTAACTTCATGAGATTATTATAAGATGCAACTAAATTACATAAACGAACTGCACTAATCTAAAATACCTTATTATTTTCACCTTACTTTTAATCATATTTATCATAAAATATGAATATGATTTAATTCAAGAGTTCTTATTAACAAAAAAAAAATTTACCAAAAAAAGAGAGGAAAAACCGGTTTAACCCGAGTCAACCGGGTCGTCGGGTTTCGGCCGGGTCAACCGGTCCAATCCGGGTTGACTGCATAACTGGGCTAATTACCCGCTCGGACCGGAGAACCCACCGGGTCACCGAGTCCCGGGTCTACCCGGCCAGTCCGAGCCGGGTTTTAAAACACTGATAGAGAGAGTTTAAGTGGGGCCCACCATTAAAAAGCAAAAAAAAGAAAAGAAAAAAGAAGAGGTGCGATTTTTGAAGTGAGAGAAAATGAGATAACTATCTCATGTAAATATTTTTCATATATATATATATATATATATATATATAGGTGTGAGAGAGAAAAATAACAAAATTTACATCAATATAAAATTAATAAATTCTACTTTAAATTTTAATGGCTATAAATTATTAATATTGAGAACGTAATCGATATAAAATTATCGTATCCTTCTACATATAAATCTCGAAATCAAATTTGAAATTAAGTACTTGAAAGATCAGTACCTCTTACATTGTCACCAACTTACGTTAATCATGATAATTCCGTACGCCATACGATTCACGTCCTTTGACGTTTACTTCGAAAGACAAATTAACGTAAAACACGGCTCCAGCATCCCGGTAATGTGGGTCCCGCACGAACGGTGCGAACCAATTCACAGCCAGCTTGTTTATTCTCCTCTGAATTGAAAGTCAAGTTGAGTTCAAGCGCACGCTATATCATATGATATTGTTTTAATATTAGATTCTTTATTTTCTGTTGAAAATACTTTATAGTCAAATTAATTCAGAAAGCTTTTTTTAAAAATTTAAATAATCTAATTCAACCACGAGTTATGTCTCAAAAATAAAATATTTCAACCACCAAATAAATTAACATATTTGTATAAACTTATACTCATATACCGTCTTTATGTATTTTTCAACAAATTATTGGATGATACTTTTAAATTTACCACAATATATATATATATATATATATGTGTCTTATTAGATTTTTCTACATTTTAAATATAAAATTAGCCCTGACTTATTATTTTTATAAATAGAAATGTGAGTACGAGCATTTATTTTTCGTTGATAAATAGCATTTACAAGTTGTACTATAACAATTCATTTTTTTAAAGTATTATTGCATATTCGGCTCTCTCAATTTCGGTAGATGGAATAACATGCTGAAAATTTGTGCTTCTTTTCATTCTTACACATATAGGTTTTTATTAGACCAGATTTGATTAACTCTTTAGATGCCCTTTAATTATTATATAAAACAAATTATATACAACATAAATTAAAAAGTGTCAAACTCTAATGTTTAAATTACACCTACTGCATGTTCTTAAATAGGAATTGGTTGATTATTTGTTTTTTTTTAAATATAAAATTATGAATGCAATACAAACATGAACATAAATGATGAAATAATTTGGTTAAAAAAAAAAAGTAAAGAAAGGAAAAAGTATAAAAATTTAAAAGGAAGAAGGATAGGACTTAGGAGAAGCACGGTCGAGTAGCCTCGTTTCTTGTCGGTCACGCTCTCTCACTCTTGTTCTCTGTCTCTCTCCTCCCTAGTAGGCTTGTACTATTCCTGTGACCCGATTCTCTATAATTACTTAATTAGCCTTTTAAATGTTGTTTTTTCCATTAACCACTCCAATTTCTAAGCAAGCAAGCAAGCAATCAATTAATACACGGATAAAATTTTCTGTGTTATTCAGTAAGTAAGATAATCTCAATTATTTTAAGTTAATTTAGTTCAGTTTGATGTTATATTTTATTTCAATTTTCTTCAAAATCCGTAAACTTTTAAATTTAAATTAATATATTCTATATAATATGATAATATTTTTTATATTAATTTAATTTATTTAAAATATACATATTATAAAATATTATTTAATTTTATTTTATTTTATCACTTAGTTATTTACAATAATTTTTTTTTGGTACACTATTTAATTTTATAATATTTACCTGAATATTAAGTCATTATAATTCTAATCTAATCATTAATTAGTTTTGATCACATTGAATTTGAGTTTAAGAAATTAGTCCTATAAAAATATAAAGTTAAATCTGAATTAAGTTACACCCAACCAAGTTGGGTTAAGATGACAAAAGTAAATTGAAATGGCTCTGATTAGAATTAGAGAAAAAAATGGCTCAGATTAAAGCGTTGTGTAAACACAAAAGGGTAGATTACCAAAAAACAAAAACAAAAAAAGAAAAAAAAAGGTTTATAAGTAAAAGTGGCTAAGTATAAGGGCATTTGGGGCAGCAAAGTCATGATTCCATGAAGACTAAAACATGAAAGCAACCGAAGTTGTAGTCCAACAGGAATGGTTTATAACTTAAAATATCCATATCACAATGTTTGTTTCTTATTTTGACTTTCTAGTTTCTTCGTTTTAACAAGGAAAGACACCAAAACCAAACAGAACCTAAGAAACGAAATCTCCAACGTTTTTATTTTCACATGTTATTGCTAACAATTGTTACTATTGAATATTGATAGTCTTTTTAAACGAGTTTCCATCCCAGAAAACTCACTTGTTTCCAACCTAAGATAATTATCGCATATTATCTATAAAAAAAATCTAAATTTTACTGATAACTTTTCCCAGAGTTCATACTCAATTTTCAGTTCTTAATTATTCTTTTCATGTGTTTTTTTTTTTATTCCTTTGCTATTTGTTCATTTTGGGTCTGTATGTTTGTTGAGTCAGGTCAAGGTCAAGGTAAAATGGCTACTTGATATTGCATTGACTAGTGCTTTATTTATTGAATTTCATTTCTATTGCTTCCTAATCCTCGTGGATCAAAGGGAAAGGAGTTTTTGATATTTGATTTTGTTTCATTTCTCTCACCTTCTGTTTTCCTAGCAGGACCATTTTCTGTACACTAATTGGGAATTAATCTTTGCTATTTGGATCAGTTTGTGCTCTTCAGGTGAAATGGCTGCTCCTCTCTATCCAGCTTGTTATTTGGGTTTTGCAGGTTCTATTGATTTTGGCATTTGGAATTTGGTTAGAAATTATCTTGCTTGGTGACAAACGAAAATCAGATTTGTTGCATGTGCATGAATGTAATAATGCTATACATTGCTGAAGCTAGCTAGCTGTACTTGGTATCCAAGGCTGAGCAGCATGTATGGACAATTTATAAATGGGAATCCTCAAGATTTATAAAAGAGAGAAAAGATAAGAAAAAACACACGCGCGCGCCCACATAGACACACACACATGTACAATCTTTCAATGCAGTAGCAAACAAAGCATCTGAAACGATTTTACCTTGCTGCAACTGACGAGTAACACTGTAATACATTTGTACTTTTACTTTCCTTATATCATTTGCAAAGAAACAAAATTGAACAATTTTTTCAGATACCCATGAATTATTAGTCCTTTGTCCATTGCATTAATTCAAAATTTCCCTTGTGGCTATGATGTTCTTTATTGGCTGAACTTTTATTTCTTCCAAAGCCCTTTTTATTTTTTATTTCCTATTTTGGCACAATTTACTTCAAAATTTGTGCTTTTTTATGGGATATCGGCCGCCCGCTCCAACTAGTTTGGGATAAAGGTGATGTTGATGTTGACGTTGTTATTTCAAAATTTATGTGTACTAAGGATAGGGAGGTGCTCCTTAAGTAGATGAATTTGATTAGTGTACTTGATTGCTAAACTGATATAAATTAAATCATTTTTTTCTATTTTAGCGTTATGTATGACAATGTGACACAGGATGCTGCCATACATGGTAGGTTTCCTAGACTGATACGTTGTATTTTACCTAGCTGTTCACAATTGTAACGCGTTCTTAATCACGAGCTTCATATGATAGGCAAGGAAGAATCGCGTGACTGGTTATTAATCGATTAGAGATATTCACAATATTAGCTGCTTGAGTTTGAGTTCAATATCAATCTAGGTATACTAGTGTGTGTTAACTTGAGTGTTTTTTTTGTCCATTGAACTATTTGTTTTAAGATTCTGATTCTGTGTACCTGATCGAATCGGACTTTGCTTGCATAGAATTTGGATGATTCAAAGATTGAGTATAAAGAGAGGTTCATGAGATTGGCTGCAAGAATTTGAGTTAAATCCAAGGTATACATGTTTGTGCTTTCTTATATGCTTTTTGATGTCTGAATAGCATTTGGTTCTAGTTTTATGATTCTTTGTTTCCAATTAAATCTGCCTGTAATTGTACAAATTAAATTAAAAGAGTCGGATGATCCAAAGATTGAGTATTGGACCCATTAAATCCTTGGTTGGATTGTCTGCGGTTTTCTTCCTTTCTCTGAAGAGAATTCAATTTGTTTTATTTAGAGAATTGGGAAGTTAAAATGAAATTTTATAGGTGGTAGGATAACAATCATAGTATCCATTTATGATATTAATATGAGCTGTTGTTTTCCTCTTCTTTTCTTAAATAGAGGAATACAGTTTAAACAAAGTATTACCTGGGAGCGCCTGCTAGGGTGTAACTAGAATATTTTGGATGGGGGTGCTAAATATACTTTCACTCACATGTTTATCAAAAAATTTAGAAGAGATGTACAAAAAAAGAAAAAAAAAGTTTAGAAGAGGGAGCAGAATTTATCTATTAAGGGGAGCTTTTTCAAAAAGTTACAAATTGTATTTATTGATAATATTTTGGTTTTGGTTTGACACCACCTCCTACTCCCTAAGTAGTTCTGCCCCTGACTACCTAATTCTTCTAATGAGTGTCTGGGAATTAATTTTCTCTTTCTTTTGTGCTACATATGTGGTTGATGATTAGTTTAAAAATTTGGGGTTGTGTAGCTTTATTCCTTTGATTCTACCATGCGACATTGTTTATCATCTAGGTAGTGATGTCTATTTGTGACATTTTGTTTGCATTTGCTTGTTCATAAAAATTATCTTTGTAGTTTTCAATGATATTTTCGCTTGTAGGACTATTGATTTCAACCATCAATAATGGAGTTAAACATGCAAAATAATAATTGGCAAATATTATCTGACCATATGAGTAGCATTCATTTGTTATTCAATTTCAACATCTTCATGGCGCTAATTTGTTAACAGTGAGTGGGTATCTACCTATATTTAGATAACTGAGTAATTGTACTCAAATATTTTGCTTGAATTATTTATTTGTGTCCTATACTGTTACTGCAATAACTAGTTTTCTTCCATCATTGCAGGTTCTTGCTTTTCTTTGGGTTATTTATTGAAGACTTTTTAGTAGTGGATACTGGATCCTAGATAATACTTCACTTTTAAAGCTCAGTAATTTGGAATTGCAAAGATGGTGGCAAGATCATGCATGAATTTGTTGAACTTGGTGTCAGGGGACATTTATAATTTCCCTCAATCTCCCAGAGCTCTTCCCCGAGTTATGACTGTTCCAGGAATTATGTCTGATGTAGATGGCAAATGCAGGGACAATGATGATTCAAATGCTTTCTCGTCAGAATACAATCGCAAGATAATTATAGTAGCAAATTTTCTTCCTCTCAATGCTCAGAAGGACAAAATATCTGGCAAATGGTGCTTTAGTTATGACGAAGATTCAATTTTGTTGCAATTAAAGGATGGTCTCCCTTTAGACACTGGTGTTGTTTATGTCGGATCGCTGAAGGTTGATGTTGATGCTACTGAACAAGATAAAGTTTCTGTCGAGTTGCTGGAGGAATTCAATTGCTTGCCTACCTTTATTCCTTCAGACCTCCAAAAACAATTTTATAATGGATTCTGCAAGCAACATTTGTGGCCTCTATTCCATTACATGCTGCCCATGTATCCACATTACTGTAATCGCTTTGATAGGTCACTGTGGCAGGCTTATGTTTCTGCTAACAAGAGATTTGCAGACAAAGTCTTGGAAGTCATTAATCCAGAATATGATTACGTATGGGTTCATGATTATCATCTTATGGTTCTTGCAACATTTTTGCGGAAGAAGTATTGTCGTGTCAAGCTAGGATTTTTCCTCCACAGTCCATTTCCTTCATCGGAAATATTTCGCGCTCTGCCTGTTAGGGATGAAATATTGAAAGCACTACTTAATGCAGATTTAATTGGTTTTCATACATTTGATTATGCTCGCCATTTTCTATCCTGCTGCAGTCGAATTCTTGGCTTAAAATATGAATGCAAAAGGGGTTACATTCAACTTGAATACTTTGGCCGTGTAATATTCATCAAAATTTTGCCCGTTGGGATTCATATGGGTCGACTTCAATCTGCCTTAGATCACCCTTCTACTTTAGCCAAAGTCAGAGAAATCAGTGAGAAATTTAAGGGGAAAAAACTTATTCTTGGTGTTGATGATATGGATGTTTTTAAAGGTATCGGCCTAAAGTTCTTGGCCATAGAACAACTCCTTCAACAATATCCAGAATTGCAGGGTGAATTAATACTGATCCAAATTGTAAATCCACCTAGGAGCACTGGCAATGATATTGAGGAAGAAAAGAAGGAGATATACATTACTGCCAAAAGGATAAATGAAAGGTTTAGTTTGCCAGGTTATGAACCTGTCATCATCATTGATCAACCTATTTCTTTATATGAGAAGACATCATACTATGCTTTGGCAGAATGTTGCATTGTGAATGCGGTGCGGGATGGTATGAATTTGGTTCCTTACAAATACGTTGTCTGCAGGCATGGGAGTCCTAAAATGGATGAAGCTTTAGAAATTGCTTCTGAATCCCCTCGTACAAGTGCACTTGTTGTTTCTGAGTTTATAGGTTGCACTCCATCTCTTAGTGGGGCAATCAGGGTAAACCCATGGGACATTAATGCTGTGGCTGATGCACTGAATTTGGCCATCACAATACCTAGTGGAGAGAAACAACTGCGTCATGAGAATCACTATCGATATGTTAGCTCTCATGATGTAGCTTACTGGGTCCGATGTTTTATGAAAGATCTAGAGCACTCGTGCAGGGATCACTATAATAAAAATTGCTGGGGCTTTGGCTTTGGCCTGAGTTTCAGAATTTTATCTCTTTCTCCTAGTTTCAGTAAGTTGTCTATAGACCACATTGTCTCTGCATATAGAAGGAAAAATTGCAGGGCACTGTTTTTGGATTATGATGGTACAATCATACCTCAAACATCCATTGTTAAAACCCCTGGTCCTGAAGTCATAACTGTTCTGAATAACCTTTGCAATGACCCTAACAACATTGTGTTTATAGTAAGTGGCAGGGGGAAAACCACACTGAGTGAATGGTTCGATCAGATTGAGAATCTTGGTATAGCAGCTGAGCATGGTTATTTTCTAAGGTGAGTTTTTTAAAATTTTATAGTTGTTTATGTGCAATTCAGCTGATAACAATCATGTCAATCCTTTATTTAATTTCTATCAACCCCTAATTCCCTCTTAAAAGAATAAGAAAGAAGAGGACAAAAGGAAGTAGAAGCAATTGATAGTGGTTTTTTGAGGGCTTACGCCATTGGCTTATTATGATATGAAAAGTTAAATTCACCTTGTAACACATGCATATGTGGGAGTTTTTTTTTCTTCCATGGTGCAGTGGTTTCCATGTTATTGCAAGTTCTGAGAACTGATGATGTCTTGTTTGGTCTTTGCTACAGGTGGGGTCAACAATCAACTTGGGAAATAAGTCATCCAAGTACAACTTGGGAAATAAGTCATCCAAGTACTAATTTTTCTTGGAAAAGGATTGTTGAACCTGTAATGAGATTGTATACTGAGGCAACGGATGGCTCCTATATAGAGACCAAAGAGAGTGCCTTGGTATGGCACTACTATGATGCTGATCCTGATTTTGGATCTTGGCAAGCCAAGCAGCTGTTTGATCACCTTGAAAGTTTATTTGCAAATGAACCTGTAGTTGTTAAGAAGGGAAAGCATATTATAGAAGTCAAGTCACAGGTTTATACTTAACTCTTCATCTCTCAACCTATGATTATTCTAAAAAGATTTAGTATTGACTAATGAACATTACAGGGAATCACTAAAGGGTTAGTTGCAGAGGAAGTTCTGTCTACAATGGCCAGGGACGGGAAATTGCCAGATTTTGTATTGTGCATAGGGGATGATAGATCTGATGAGGATATGTTTGAGAGCTTATTAACCAAAGCTTATAGTGGAACCTCTTCTCCTGCACCAGAAATCTATGCATGCACTGTTGGTCAGAAACCAAGTAAAGCTAGGTACTACTTAGATGATGTTGTGGATGTGATGAGGTTGCTTCAAGCTCTTGGTACCGTTTCAGTGCCTTAATCAAGATATTCTGAAGAAGGCTCTTCTGGAAAAAAACAGAAATCTGTTTTGAGAATGTTGTTTGAAATGCAAACTTTACCTATATCTATTTTAATACTTGTTTTTCATACATAGACATGCTTCAAGGAAGTCGTTTAAAATTTGATTTTCAGGTTTTGATTATTGAGGATGCTGTGGCATTAGTTTCTAGACAATGAGCATCAAGGGTTAGAGTTGCTGCTTTTGATTGGTGGGTGGGGGAAAATGGATGTTTATTCTGTATCTTTTTTTTTTTTTTTTAGTACATTGTTTATGCTGTCTTTTAGCAGTACTTTAGATATTGAGAAATATTTTTAGGTTCTGAATCTAGGCATCTGGCTTGATGAGATGAGAATCCTTTATTTGTATAGTTGAACTAGTTACAGTTTATTTTATGAAGGTCATTTAGAATTTGAAACCATAAACCATTTTCCTTAATTGTTAGCAGACAATATTTTTTATTTGGGGGTGGGGAATGGGGATCCGTGTGAGATGGAGTAATGTTTTATTGGATTCACTAATTAAAAAAAATAAAATAAAACATATGAATGTAGCTCCGGTGACACAGTAAAAAGAGATGTCTTAAGTTTATCAAAAAAAAAAAAAGAGATGTCTTAATGTTCTGGAATGTAAGCCCCATTAGTCAAAATATAAAGAGGTGTGCAAAGAACTAAACCAAATTGGTTAAAATTAAATTAACAAAATTGAACCAAACTCTTTGGTAAAAGAAATTATACGCTTTGCAATTGGTTTAGCTTACAGTTATATCCAGTATTTCAGTTGTCCATATAAAAAAAAAAAAAAAAAAAACTTACCAGGATGAGATATTGTTCTATTCTAAGATAATAGCATTGAAAACTTATAATGATACTTATATATTATTGAAGTATTGTCAAACATATTATCCTTAAATTGAAATTAGGAGCACAGATCTCTGTGTGGCTCAAAAAAAATCCATGTGTTTAGAGTAATAAAATCCTTTGATGTTTTCTCGAAAAAAGTCTATTGGAATTCTGTTTTTTTAAAAAGCAGAAGTCGTAAAAAAAGTCAAAAATTTACTTTTTTTAGAAGTTAAAAATTTTAGTTTTAAAAAAAAAAATCAAAAGCCAAATATTTTTTTCAAATATTAAATATTTTTTAAAAATTTAAGTAGCTGTAACTTTTATAGAAAGTGCTTTTAAAATTAAAAAGTCATAAAAAGAAATTTTTTAACAAGTCAATACAAACGAGGTCTCCCCCCTCCCCAACAACTCACACATCACAACAACAACAAAAAGAAGAAGATAGATAGCTAAGAAAATAAATTTAATTTGAAAAAAAGCTTGGGTTACAACTTGAAATCTATTTTATTTAAAATATTTATAAATTTTATTTAAAGTTTTTCCCCCCTAAACGAGGTATGATAATGTGGGGTGCATTTTCCTGATTTAAATTTTTAATTAAAAAATACGAGATAAAACCCTAATAAAGTAATTTTTTTATTAAAATTACATAACTCTCCTGTTCTTTTTGTCGAACGAAAACTAATTTCATCAGTCTAACATTTATAGATGTACATAGTACATGCATCTTGGTTAAAAATAAAAAAAAGTATATAGAATATGAATTTTTAGATGACACGCGTCGTCGTTTAACGTGGTAGAGGTAAAAGGTGTTCCTTCTTAACGAAGTATACTTGGTGGTAAGCAATTTTCACTGGTGAAGTGGTAAGTCAGAAGACCTCAACTTGAAAGAGTGTGGGTGTGAGAGAAAGAGCAAGAAACGCCGTCGTTTTTATTGTCTTCCGAAAATGCGATCCTCTAGTACCCGTAGCTTCATTGTCTTCACTGTCTTGCTCATAGCGATTCTGCCCCATGTTCGGGTTCGCCCCTTTTTCCTCTCCTTTCCTTTCCCCCTATCGTTTTTCTCCGATTCCTAACCGTCTCTGAAGAAAAAGTTCACGTTTTTCGTTTTGGGTTTTTCCTTCTTTCTTTTTTTTTGTTATGCAGGGACACGCAACAAGTGAACTTCACTTCAAATCAATTTCGCCGTTTTCATCGGCTCTCGAAACCCTCCAGAAACAACTAGGGTCTGTCCTTTTCTTTTGTCTTGTTTGTTTTGCTTTGTTTCCTTGTCATTGTTTTTTTGAAATTGTTGGGTGTTTTTACCTTCATCAGGTACACCTTCAAGAGCATTAGTCTTCTTCGTCGTGCCATGACTCATGCTTCCTTCTCGGAGGAGAACAACAAAGCTTTCAGCATTTTGGGTGCCAGTGTCATTGAAACATCGGTGTCTTTTCAGTTGCTTTCGAAAGACGTTGACGTTTCTGCAAAAGAACTTAACACTCGATTATCTCAAATCTCCAACGTGGACTCTTCCTGTGCTGTCGATGGAATGCGATTGGGCTTGCACAAGGTGGTTCGAGTTTCGCCAAAGACCAATTCTTCTGCGCCTGCTGTGGTTTGCGGTGCTTTTCGAGCAATCTTTGGTGCTATTGCTATTGATACTGGCAAATCTGATGCTGCTGGTAACATTTTCTGGACCCTTCATGGTGGTGACATTGGGGCTGCTTTAGCCCTCTGACTTGTGAGTTCAACTTTCATTAAGTCTTCTGTTTGCGTTTGGTGCTGAAAACACTTCTTAATGACTTATGTTTAAGTTGTTTATCGTTTCTTTAGTTTATCTAATTACTGTAATTAATAGTACTAGACCACTAGTTGTGTGAAGCAGTGAATGGCAACCTCTGATCCTATAGTTGCTTGTGTATTAATTGAATGAAGATATATAACTTCTGTTTGTTTTAACATTTTTTGTTATGTTAATATAGATATGTATTTTTAATTGCTCTGAACTTATGAATTCATTTAGCTACTGTCCATTGTTTTCTTGTGCTAGTTAATGTAAGACTAAATACTCTAAAGAAATATGGGACATTAAGATTGATCCTTTAAAGGTTTTGTACATTAATTTGGCATCTACTTTTAATTGTTTTGTTGTGCTACTTCTTTAAAGACTAAATACTCAAATTAGTTATATAAAGATACAAAAGGGACATGAAGTTGGTCTTGACATTAATTTGGTCTCTTGATATTTAAAATGGGTAACAATTTTGGCCCTCAATATATTTGGTCCCTAAATTGATGTTTATTTTACAATTTACGTTATGAAAGACCAAATTGATGTTCAAAATCTTTGGATGACCAACCGAATGTCCCGTGTATTTTTAGAGTTTGAGGACCGATATAAGTATTTGGATGCGAACCTTGGGAGAGCCTCACCTCAAAAGCTAGCCCTTGAAGTAGGAGATCCCAAAGTCCATATCAACCGCACCAAATTTGGCTATTCATTAATCCACTATCGTGTTACCCTGTCTAAATTAGTGTAAATTTTGCTTGCTGGTTTCATCCCCTCACAAAATTTTCTGGCTCTGCCATTGACGACAGATTATGTTGGTGGGATGGTTCCATTTCTTCTTACCTAAACTTACGTTCACAAGAATGCCAAAGTGGGAAAACTAGATTGAGAAGAAATGTGTCAGTATTAGGATGGTTTCATTTCTTAATACCTAAAATTACGTGCATAAGAATGCTAAAGTGAGGAAACTAGATTGAGAAGGAATGTGAGATCGTGATAAGCTATCCATTGGATAATGATTGTTTCATTCGATGAGTGTGATAATGATGAAGATATCATGTGGAGCAAAGTGTATAACAAATTAAATTAATGTGAAGGATATTTAAAAGTAAATATCTTTGGGGGAAGGTAGTAAAACAAGATTTAATGGAGTGGGATATAGTTTGGCGGACGGTATGTCTTAGAATGGAATGGAGAAAAGCTATAAGTATGGTGGAGAGTTAGACCCGTTGTTATTCCTATGTTCGAGATGATCCCTTTTTAGTCCTTTTCCCCTTCATTTCCCCCCTTCTTCTTTTTCCCTTTCTTTTTTACTTTTATATATATATATATATATATATATATTATTACTATTTTTTTAAAAAAAAAAATCGTTTTGTATCTTTCATATGGGTTCATCTACCATCGATCCCAATTAATTTGGGATAAAGGTGATGTTGATGTTGATGTTGATTTTGATATTTAAAAGTAAATAAGAAAGGAAAGTCAAAGTTTATGTAGAAACAATCGCACCAGCAGTTGACAATTTTTGAACTGTAAAACTTGTGTGTAGTTGGAAGTATTAAATTATTTTAAAAAGAAAATGCCGTGTTGGTGTCGTCTAAGACATACTGGACGTGTACACAAGACTTGCGACATAATCTTAGCATGTTATGTTTTTTGTCCATGTCTGCTTTTGACAGATTGTTTGAATTATCTCAACGTTTGCAGTAATGGTAACAAAACAGTCAATAGAGTCAACACCAACTCGGGGTTTGGCCACCATTACATAGTTTTCAAGGTCTCTGAGGCTCATAATTGAAATGGGAAATTTAAGGGAGAAAATTCAACTTCTGGGCATTACTCTGGTTGTTGGCATTTTCCATATAAGGTTAATTTATGTGCGATTTGGTAAAAGGATAAAGTTTAGTTCCTAAGAATCCTAGTTACCCATGTTTAATATAAGGATTCTTAAATTTTTTTTGGGAAAATGAAATTTCTGAGAATTAAAATTGTGAATAAGAATTCTATGAAATAATACTAACAGTTAAGTGGTACTTTTGAATTCCCACTTATGAATTTTTTTTACATAATTTATAGAATATAAATAACCTTGGTTTAATATTTTTATGATTAAAATACCCTCTTTTGTTAAAGTTTAATAGTTAAATGTGTAAATAGATCGTTCTTATATTTAGTAAAGAGTTTAAAGTTTTAAAGTTATTTTAGCCATCACTGTTCCCCCCACTCCGGATTAGTCTCATAGCCGGCTCAAAGAGTCGAAGCTCGTGGGGATACCGGAGGGAGCCAACTCGTCTCATAGAGATAATTAGAGTTGGGTAACTCCAAAAAAAAAAAAATAATAATAATAATTTTATCTAATGTTCATTAAAATACGCATAAAAAAATGTGTTGGGTCCATGTGGACTCGTGTGAAGAGTAGAGAGAGAAAAAGAAAATATGAATTTCACACATTTTTATTTGTGTATTTTAGTGGATATTAGATAAAATTATCTAAAATAACTTTAGATACTTTAAACTTTTTTGTAAAATAATAAAGATTTAGGTTTCCAAAAGAAAAATAGTAATAATAATAAAGATTTAAGAAAATATTCTCAGACCAACTTATATTATATTAATTATTTTAAATAAAATAAAATAATTATTTAATTAATTTCAAATAATAAAATAATATTAGTATAATATTTCTCTTCCTAATTCTTGATATGCTCGAAAGTTTAATAGGTTTAATTAAATAGCTAATATGACTGGCCAGATTCTTTTATAAAAAAGTAGTTGTTTAACATATGATTTTGCATCTCAAAAAATTATCGCCACTGATATAATAACCTGCAAAGTTTAGAAGAATTGTATGACTTGATGTATAAAATAAAAAAAAGGATTATATGACTTGATGTATCAAATAAAAATAAAAATAAAAAAAAGAAGACCATATGACTTGATTTCCAACACTGCATTTTGACCCTTTTATTATATATCAGATTTTTTTTCTTCAAAAATTCGTCAAATTTTAATTTTGTAAAATTAATCTATAATTTTCAGAAATTATTAACAATCAACCGAATATAAAATCAGAAAAATTGAACCAATATTTATTAAAATATTTTGAATTACCAAATAATTTTTCAGTCCACCAAACACCATTTGAAAGGGAACAGGAATGGGGAATTTAAAGTATATTAAATTTTAAAGGTGGATTTTCCATTTTATATCATGACAACCTTCCCGGGCACCCGAAGGGAATGAACTAACCTTGCTTTCTTTGAAATCGAGCACAATGATGGCTGTTTAACATAATAATTTTACACTTATTTTGGTTGATGTATATAATTTCAGACTGAAGAGAAGGGGAAAATGATAGAATTAGTTCTGCATAGGAAAAATGAAATGAAATGAGAGGATCTGAACTAACTTTGTAATCCTAAGGAAAAGTGCTTTACTTTAAGGTGACAAATAGAGATAAGGGTTTATAAATTTGGGCATACAATTAAATAATAAAAAGTGTTCAGCTATTATATGTGAGTGCGAGGAGATATTATCTTTTTAGAGCTCAGTTTGTCCCGCGGGAACAAGCAGTCAACACAAGCGTGACTCACGACTCTGGTGGATAATAAGATTTCCGTGTCCGTGTGTGTGACGTGTGTGTTTTCTATTCTTTTCTTTTCTTTTCTGTGGGCACTCGTCGCATCCTTATTTTCGTGGTCTTAAATTCTTAATCTCATGCAGTATGCCTAAGCCTAACTGATAGTGATAATAATAATATTAAATAATAATATAAAACAAATGATATTGTTTTATTAAGTGGTTGCTGAATAGTTAGCACTAAGAGACGAGTGAATTAATTGAAAGGGTTACATTAGGAATTAAAATATACCGGTCCACCACCTATTTATACCTGAAATCTTTCTTCTTCTCTTCTTACATAGCATATCAACGCTCTGTTTAGAAAAAAACAAAAAAACCATCAACAATCTCATATCGGGTTCTGACATGTCCATCGAGCTTGAATCTAAATCCATTCCGAGCGGCGAAGCCCAAGCCCAAGCCCAAGCCCAAGAGAGTTCCAAGTTGTTTTTCCCATCCTGCTGCTTCGGTCCACGACGTCGTTCCGCATGGTGGGAGCGCGTTCGCTCCACTTCCTGGTCACAGACACAATCCCGTCCAAGCGGAGAGCGGTGGTGGTCGCGTGGCCTCAGGGCTCTCAAGAAGCTACGCGAGTGGTCGGAGATCGTGGCGGGTCCCAAGTGGAAGACATTTATTCGGAGGTTCAACCGAAACCGCGCCACCAAGCGCATGGCCAACTACCAATACGACCCATTCAGTTACGCGTTGAATTTCGACCAGGGGCAGAACGAGGATCCCTATGACGATGGCTTTCGCAATTTCTCCACGCGCTACGCCGCCGCCAACAACAACAACAACAATGTGAAATCGGTTACGACGGAGACGGGTAGGGACGTCGCCGTTTTGGTTTGAGTTGAGTTGAGTGAGAGAGTGCGCTGGAATGTGCGCGTCGTGAGCTGGAGTGTGGGGTTTGGTTGGTGGCTCAACCTGTGAATGAAAACGGGTAGTGGGTGGCGTCACTTTTTGTTTGTTTGGCCCTTTCCTCTATCCTATGAGTATTTTATTTACTTTTCTTTATTTCTCTTCATATATTCATGATAAGATAGACAAATGGAAAGGTTATTATTATTGTGTATGTAAGTAATCAATTCTTTTCACTATTATCATTTCATAATTAATTCCTTGTTTCTAATGGTTGGTCCTTGGGTGGAGTGAAGCATGAGAATTGATAAGGAATAATAAGGCTTCTCTTGCAATTCTTTTAATTTTTTTTTTCTCCTTCTTATTTCGTACGTAATAATTGTAATTATTATTAGGGAAATTATACTCTTATGTTGCATAAGATTACTCTCTCATTTTACACTCACATAAAAAGACGTGCATATCTTTTCTTTTCTTTTTCTTTTTTTTAAAATTAGTGGGCTCCACTTAATTTATCTCACAACATGAGATAACTTCTCTCCTACAACATGAGAAAAGTAAAACCCTTATTATTATTATTGGTGGTGGGGTTTGACAATTGCTATCAATAAAATGAGCCTTCCACGAAATTAATTGCTTGTCATAGTTAGGTATTTGTCATCGTGTTTTTGTTTGGAGTATCTTCACTTCACCATTGAAAATGTGTCATTTTCATCTCTTGAATAAGTTGTCGAATGATTAACCAAAATAGAACTTGTTGGGGAAGCCGTGTGCTACTTGAGTAGGGCAGATTGATATAGCTTGTAGGAGGTTGTTCGATCAACTAATAACTGAAGTCACTACCGTATACTGACTAAGTGAGCGAGCGATATTGACAGGTACGATCAAGTAATTAATAATAATTAGTTACCTTTTAAATCGGCCCTCGTATATTTAATTAAATTAATATTATTATAGGACATAAAGTTTAAGCTTGACCTCAATAATCAAAGTATATAATTCTTGAAAATTCTATTAATAGAGTCGAGAGACCAAGAATAAAAAAAAAAAATCAGTTTTGGGTTTTGGGCATAAGTACACATCATTTTCCCATTAATGTACAAAGGACAGATAAATTATTATGAGGTATTGTTCTAGGAAATTTTTATCAATAGTTACAACGACATGGCATTAGTTTATATCTTCAACCTCTCCTTTGGGGTTTATGACAATCAATTTTAACTGTTTTAATAAGACTCACAACAGTCAATTGCTTTATCATGTAATTGTTTATTTTATTGAAAACCTTCATCTTATATTATTTTCCATATCAAGTGCCTTAATAGTAATAATAATAGTAATTTTAATACCCTCCATTTAATACTTTTTAATTACTTGAAAGAAAACATACCATTTTTTTTAGTTTTTAATACAATAAAATTTTTCTTTTTATTTGATCTTTTCTTTTTCAATTTCCTTAACTAGACACTCGTTAGCAAATTTCCCAAAAAATAAAATTAAATAAAAAAATCATACAATACTAAAATAGGATCTATTCGATCATAGTAAAATTGGCGGACATCAAACGACTAGCAACCATATAACATATTCAATAGTAATTATTGTATAAGGAGCATTGTTAAAATCTCGATTTATCACTACGATTTTATGTTTTTACGATTTTTTTTTTTATCAAAACGATTTTACTAATATTCCAAACGTTTTTACGATTTTTTTATAATACGATTTTACGTTTTACGATTTTTTAATCTCCTTCCGATTTTACTTAAGATCTCGATTTTAATAACATTGGTAAGGAGAGGAAATGATAGAAGAAAAGGGAGAGAGAGAGAGAGAGAATTGCGGAATTTGGGTAGCTAGGCCATCCCCCCAACGCTGGTCTCACTAATGAATAGTTCATTGAAGTAAGTTAGCTCCAAAATAGAAGTCTAACTAAGGCAATCCTTAAGTCTAGAGAAAGCTTCAGAGACTACTTGGTTCCATATGAAGACAACTTTCGTTAGAAGATTGGTTAAGGGAGCAGCAATGGAAGCATAATTGCTCCATAGAATTCATCTTAATTCAATGAAAGCAAGGTCAAAATGAAACGAGACCAAAAACGAAATTCAATGAAGGGATGGGGAATTATGTATAATTTTCTAATGTTTTCTTAATTCATGAGGCACAGTCTCTCATGGATGTTTGGGTTGCTTAGCCTTCCTCTTTGGGCGCATGCCAGTATTAATGGGCTAGGTCCTACATATTCCGTTACATATTGTGCCCAAATAATCATAAATTTATGCCAAAAGAAATTTCAGATACTCACAAGATCCCCCACCCTTGATCAAAATGGGTTTTGTTCAGATAAGAAACAAAGATGCATGGAGCATTGGAGCAAGCCGTCATTCCTGAACCCTACTGTTTACAGACTTTATGTGCAATAAAATGTCACCAACTATCCATGGAAAGCTTAAAAAACTGGAGTTTTCCTGGTAATATCTCTGGTGATAGGTCACATGATACCATGCAGAAGCCAAAGGTTGATATTCATGCGGAGGGCAACTTGTTTCAAACCATTCTTTAGCTTCACGCTGAAGATTCTTCACTGAAAGCAGAATCCGATCCTTCATATCTCCGTATTTCCTGTTATCACGCTGCAAATATGAAGCACGGTTTTGCAAGTTACCGGTTAGCATTTCGCCCTCAGTCTCTGCACCATAGAAGTTCATTAAACTGCTCATCTTCTGTGCATACATTTCTTTGTGACTTGATGCAGTCTCAAGGAAGACCTCAAAACCATTAACTTCAAGACCATGATCATATGTTTCTTCAGTAAGCTTCTCTGACCAGACAAAGTCAGATCTTACTTGCAATTTTGACTCGATTATGGCACGATAAAGTTTTCCTAGTACCCCGTTGGAGATATACATAGGCTTGTCCACCCTCTCCATGAAATCTGGAAACTCTCTTGGTTTCAAAACTCTAGGCATTGCAGCAGGTGCTCCAGTCTTTGCAAAGTCAACAGCCATGGAATGAAGCTCCGCCAACTCCAGGCATTTTCTACTCCTGGCCTTGTCTGGTTCACGGTCAGCATGAACAAGGTGTGCGGTAGAGATAGCACCCAAAGTATCATTGATCATGTAATCAACGAAAAATTGTTGGATTTCCTACCCCACACAGGTAACAACAAATAAATATCAGTACCACATTTATCACTGCTTAAAAAAAAAAAAAAATCACGTAATTTTGTTGAAAATTACCTCTAGTGTCACCTCATGGTCCATTATACGAGGCCTCCTTCCAGTGTAGTCCATTGGAGCATCAGTTTGACATGGGATCAGATCTTTGTCCCAGCTTATGAAAAATAAATCTCCATCAAGATCACCCCCAGAGCATTCATTTGGATGAGGTCTGTAGGCCCACCAAAAAAGCATTAGCAGCAATAAACATCAATATAAGAACAAATATGTTGCAAAATGAACATCAATGATAATGACTTTTTGATGTATTACCGACGTAGGCTCAACCAGCCCAAAAAGAAACGGTTTGGGACTTCAAAGTTAAGCACAAGAGTCAGGCTTGGACAAAATTTTAGACCTGGTTTATTAAAATCCAGGTTGGGCTTGGACTCGGAACAAAAAAGAGGCCTAAAAATTACGTACACAATCTTAAATTACAAAAACAAACTATAGTATGTAAAATTATGTATACATTTTTTCTTTTGATTACATTGAGTTTAGGTGATGTGTATACCGGCCAACTTCACCTCAACTACTCTGTCTCCCTAGTCAGGTCAAAGGCAAACCAACTAAACTAGGACTAGATGATTCATAAGAAAATTCCTCATGGCCTAACTAATACTAAAGCTAAGACTTGAAACTTCGTGCATCTGACTCTACATATATGTGTATACACTAATTTAATTGTATTAATATTTTTTTCTTCTAAAATATAGATAATAAATACATGATTTTTTTTTTTCATTATAGTTAAAAAAGTAAGAGGGCGAGCTCGAAGGAGTGATAAAGATGCTCTTTTGTGACTGAAAGGTTACAGGTTCGAATCCGGGAAATAGTTTCTTTGCAAATATGTAAGAGAAAGGCTGCATACAAGGATTGCTCTCACCCCTACCTTTGCTAGTCGAGGTTTAATGGGAAGTGTTTTTTCGTAGTTGAAAAAGTACAAATATATACTATTACCAGTACTGGGCTCAGCCCAAACCTAGACTGTCAAGGATGCAGAACCAAAACCCTAACACCCAAATTGCAAATAAATCTAAGACTTACGAAACAATTTCAAACTGATTTCTTCTTTGTGCATTTCTCTTGGTCAATGGAAATTGTGGAGACAATAAGCCATGTGAAGGACCAACTCTCCTAAAGCTGCAAGGTGAAAGCTTGTAAATGGTTTTATATCCAACACACATCTCTCATGAAACAACTCCTTAGGCTCGAAGCATGGATTGGGCATATGCCTACCATACTTTGTGCAAAAATTCAACTTTATTAAAACTCCTAATCACTGGGTGATAAAGGCTGATACCATGTCAAATACCAACTCTCTTAAAAGCTTAAGCTGTTACGTGAAAGCTTATTAATGATTTTATATTTAACAAGGAAAAACTACGCAAAATCTAATATTACTACCGAATGTTCACCAGACAATGAATATAAAGAAGTCAAATAGCAGAACTTAAAGGAAATTAACAGAGATCAATTGGCACCATTAGATGGTAATCAACCAAACAGGACTAATGACACCAAATTCATGAAACAATAGGAATAATGTCTGTTATTTGCTAAAGTCAATGATAGCATCTAGCAAGTAGATGCTGAATGTTCTAAATGACAAGTAATTGAGAAGCTATTGACATCCACCCTTTCCCCTTTTATCTCTTCTCCCTTGGGTTATGTCACCTTTTGTTAGAACATGATTAATGACTCATAGTATTTAATAACAGCACACCGGGACCAAAAATAAACGTAAAAAATGTAATAATTCTACCTTGAATAAAACAAATGATTACAATCAAATGTGATTGTAAATGTCATCCATTATACACATACCTATGTCCTTTTTGTGGAAATACAAGGCAATCCCTCAAACCTTTTTCCTCTAATTCTTCATTGTAGATAGCATCAAGGACTCTGATATCTCCTGGGTGAAGACAAGGATTTTTTGCGACCACCACCTTCCCCACTATTATACGTGTGCTATCATCACCATCCACTTTCCTTAAGTTTTCATCTCCAAATTTTTGCTTAGTTTTTGCCACGGTTATGCGGACAAATACTTGGCCATAATTCAAAAGACCAGTTTCATCCAAGCAACCCAGTAATACTTGACCCTTGGGCACAAGTATTCGACATCTACTTTTCAAATCAGATAATTGGTATGCATAATGAGCCTTAAGCATCATTGACAGATAAGGCTCACTGTTTGGCTCATAATCTGCATGCAACATCTTCACAAGAATGCTTTTTGAATCAGCTCCGCTTAAACTTTCCAAGACATCCAAAGCCGCCTCACTATCAGTCAACATCCTACCTAGCAATTGCAATTGTTCCTGTTGCATTGCCAAAAGCGCCTCATCTTTTACTCCTAAGGTAGACAGGAGGGATATAATCTCTCGATTGAGAAAGCAAGGCATCGACTCACTCCATTTAGTGACACAAAGCATCCTGTTATTGGATTCAAATTTAAGCATGCTCCTACGCAATGATAACTTCCTAAACGAACGGCGATCAACAGCAATGACACCTTTATATCCACCATACCGAATTTGAAATGCTGATGGAATCTTACTCTGATCCAATTTTAGCTTTTGAGCGACTTGCCTTGCAAAAGATTGGGAAATTTTTCCAATACCATCTGAGAAACAGTAGTTTATACCATCAGAGCTAACTCCAATATCTGGAATTATCTGCACATCTTGAGTGGGCACTTCAAAAGTTTGCATGGAAGAACTGAACAACTGACCCATCCTTGCTGCACATTTAGAAACACTGCGAATATTGTTGAAGCATCCCATCCAATCTCTTATATCTGCTGCTTTCACATTGTCATTAGAAGCAAACAACCAAACAGAATTTGATCGCAGTTGACTAGCCGAGAAAGCCAGAAACTCAAATCTTTTCAATCCAATTACAATCCCATCACGAAGAATCGTCAATATCCGCTTATGTATTTCAGTTTTAAAAGGCTTTGAAAAGATTCCCTTTTGCACACCGGTTGATACTGCATTAGTTGGAAGCTTACTCCAATCCTCTTCAACAAAATTAACCCTCATGAAGTCTGAAGCATATGAGGCAAAATGCTTTACCACATGATTTGAGGTTTCAAGCTCAGGACCGAGGCAATAAATCTTTGATGGGGTAATCAAGGCTCTATGACAACTCATTATGTTATTATCCGTCAACCTTTTATGCGATGATGGCAGAGGACTCGCACTCTTGCTACTTAGCACATGTAATTGAGTCTTAACAAACTTAAGAGGCTCGTAACAAGTAGAGTTCAGCTTGTGCAATTTCTGAAAAATCACGGCTTTAGCTTCTTCATTTAAGCTTCCTAACAAGTCCATCAATTCATCATCCACCGAAGCAAGACTAATCTTGTGGGTGTGAACAAGGGAATTCAGTTGGAAAAGGATCTCATATGGCAACTTAGAATCCGAACGACACTTAACAAGTGGAACTGTTTCTGTTGAAGAACAGAATTCCTCCCCATCTTCCAGAGTAAGGTCTTTCAAATTTTCTCTATAGAGTGGCAAGCATTGAAAAATATCTGAAGCTAATGTTTCTTGCTCAATTTCCCAGCAAAACGATGTAGAGTGCCCAATAGACTTCATAGCCGAGAAATCAGTGGTGCGCACCCAAAGAAATTCAAAATCCTCCTTACAAAAATGGTACCTATCAGCCTTAAACTTTGCTGCTACATTTGGCCCGATTTTTTTCTGATAGATCCTTGGACCATATTTCAGCTGAGAAGAAGAAAAACTAAAAGAGGTTAATAAATCAAAACCCAGAAGAGGTTAAACAACAAAAAGCTTCCTAACATTGAATAAAATACCTTTAAGATGAGGGTATTGAGTTTGGAATCTCCAGAACAATACCCATTAGCCTCCAAAATGTCTTCAAACATAATCTCAAGTTTGTAAGAGTGAGAATCATGAGATACCCAGAACTCAAGCTTCCTCCTTTGTGGCATTACCCAACCTCTGACACCTTCCCACGACTCCAGAACACTCATGCGGTCATCGCCGACCATGAAACCCGCGTACAGGGCGCTGTTCTCCACGCGGTTTCGGGGAAGGGGAGGCCTGATGATGATGTCTTCGTAGGTTTCGGAGAGTCGGAGGAAGTGGGATTTGAAGAGGAGTTGGTTTTGGAGGGAGAGAGAGAGGGCGCGTGATTTGGCGTCGAAGGTCTCGAACTGCACGCGCCCTATGCCGCGAGACTTCCAGTTGTCGTGGTCGCTGAAGATTTCGAGGGCGAAGACGGAGGTGGGACCCACGGCGGAGTCGATGAATTGAAGGAGTTCTTTGGCGGTGGCAGATTGAGGTATGTTCGACACACGAACGGTGGGTAAGTCCGAAGCCACCACCATTGTTGGGTGAACTGAACTGAACTGAGTGAGTGAGTGAGTGAGTGAGCGAGTGAGGTACGTTGATAGACACAAAGGCAGATGCAACAGAAGTTGAGGAGAAAGGGTCAAATAGATTAAACTAACCAATTGGGAATTAAGATACTAAATTATAGTAGTTATTTTATTAATTAAACATTAATGAATTCGTAAACTATTTAACTCTTTAATTTAATGTCGAAGATAAAATTATATTCTTTTATTTTAAAATAATATTAATTTGAAGTTAAAAGGAAAATATATAAGCATACCAACAAAAAACAATATATATATAATAATAAAGATTAATATTATTTCAAAATAAATTGAAATTATAAAAATATATTTCTTCTACCATCAAAACGAGATTATTTTGAAATCAAGAGTTAAAATCATTAAACCTTTTTTTAAAGATTTAATTCTTAAAACTACGACATAATTAAAATTATATATTGATCATACATTAAGAATGTAATTAAAATCATTCTTGAAATGAATAAATATATAAGTAATTAAAATGTAAATAAATTTATTTAGTTTTTAAAAATTATAAATAATTTTTATCAAAATAAAATGTAAAATTTAATGAAGGTTAACAATCTCTCTCCTACATATATAAAATATAGTATTTAATAGTTTTATACAAAATATCTTTTCTATTGATTCCATAGTTGAATTGTAACTATTTATTATTTTAATTGTTTGTATTAAATTTATAAAATAATAATAATAATAAAAACATAGCCAAATAATTTTTATTTGCATATATTTTAAAAATAAATATAATACATCAAACTTTATGCATATTGATGACAGAAAACTATGTAGTTAATAATTATTGATTGGCGTAAAAGTTATTTTGACTTAAGCTATATAAATCGATCACTCCTCTCTATGTATATATGCTTTTCATTATTATTTTCATATTTTGTTTTATACAGAGTAATATAGTATTAATATAGCTTAAAAACTTCACACTTAAATTTTATTTTCATATGCAAAAAATATTTCTCCTGTCACAAAATATAAAATTATCTTGTATAACTTCAAAACTATGTAATTTCGAGGGTCAGAGGAATTAATGATAAATATTTTATTAAAATTCATATAATAAAGAAACGAATAAAATTATCAAAACACTTCTCATTAATTCCGTCAACTCTCAAAACGATATAATTCTGGAGTTATAAGAGATAACTCTATCTCCTATGCATATGTATATTAATACATACAAAAGATACACCAATATATGCGATTAATATTAAACAAATACTTACAAAAAATGAATATTTTCGTGAAAAATTTATCTTTGATTTAATGGGAAAATATATATCATTTTAAATGACACAATTTTATGTCATTTTTAATAAAATTATGCTGTTTTGGTGTGTGTGTTTGCATTCTCTCTCTCCTTTTTCTTTTTCTTTCTAATTTTATAAAAAAATGTAAAAAAATATCAAAAACATATCAAAATGACATAGTTTTGTTAAAAATAACATTGTGTCATCTATTTTCCCCTTTTCATTAAAAATAACATTGTGTCATCTATTTGCCCTTTATTTAATCACTATTAGTCTTAGATCTCTATAGGGCAGCTCTTTGAATTTGAATTTTTTTATTTTTATTTTTAAGGCTTGAACTTTAGATTTAATTAAGAAAATAAATTCTTTATCAATTGAATTAATGATATTATTATCAATATAGTCTTTTGATCAGTGCAGTATGGAGATAAACTTCAATCATCAACAATAAGCAAACAACAGGTTCAAATTTCCAAGGAAAGAACTTGCTTTGCACTTGCAGTCGCAGATATACAAATGGAAATTAATCCTTTTATGTTATTTTCATGTAAAAAAGAAATAGATAAAAAGGAAATAAATAGGATTCCAAAAATTTTAAAACAGGTTACTTGTTTAATGTATTTGTACCTATTTTTCTTAATATAACATTACCATGTGAATATGTGATGGATCCATTCCCTACATATTAAAGGACCATTAGGCATAGAAGAATAGTAACAACGTGCTTGAACTTAGATGTGTTTCATCAGAGAATGAAATTTCAACCCAAGTCAAATGGTAAATCGAGAGACAAAGTAAATGAACGAAAAAGAAGCATATTGATGGTATTATGATATTGAAACCAGTAGCATTATTATCGTCACATTACATATACTTAGTTTTCTTAGTTCTCCCATTAACAAAAATCAAGGGAAAGCAGCAGCATTAGAACTATGAAATTTAGTCTTCTTAGACCAAAGCCAGATCTTGGAAACAGAGAAGCTCTCACCTTTTGTTCTGTTTCCTATCCTCTTTCCCTCCACATTCCCATTTTCTGAAACATCAATACTACTCACTTCACCACCTTTATCATCATCATGAGATTGAGATAACACCACTTGAAGATTTGAATCACCAACCACATACTGATATGAACCCATTGAATAGCATCTCCTTGTATCCAAACTACAACTACTATTATCTACTCCTCCTACTACCTCTCCACTCTCCAATCCACTATTTCTGAATTTTCCAAGTCTCACAGAAAACACCCTTTGACTATCTGAACAACATCCATTCTCTTCCTCACCCGTGACACTGAACATATTTGGCAGAACCAAAGAATTATCAACATTGAATATTGGATTCTCCACAGGGAAACCAGAGTTGGAGAGAGTTGCTCTACAAAGAGGACATGTAGAATTTGAGAGAAGCCATGTGTCAAGGCAATTCATGTGAAAGGCATGGCTGCACATGGGAAGCAACCTTAGCATGTCATGGTTAGAGAGTTCACATAGACACACAGCACAATCAAACGGTTCTTTCAAACCCAATAAATCTTTGTAGTAGAAAACAGGCAGAGAATCTATGAGAGATTGGTCTAGACCTGAATCATGCAAGTTGAAGAGCTGTTGAAGCTGCCTTTGAAGAGCACGGGTGCGTGTGGCTTCTGGAAATCTATTGGAATTATAAAGAGATGAAGATGATGGCCTTTTCAGGAGAAACCATAGAACCAAATGAATAAGTCCATAGATGAAGAAGATAACTGCTAGTACTATTATAACCAGCAAAATAAGTGGACTGATTCTGCTAAGAGATGATAAAGTTGTTGCTTCATTCTCATTACTAATATTCCCTTCATCACGTGTCATTTTCTAGCATTGAGTTTTGGAGAAGGGAACGAAGATTGTTGTAATAAACTATAAGGAAGATTGCAGTGCAAATGAATCACTGTTCTCTGAGAAGAGAAGCTTAAGAAAATAGATGGTTCTATATGCAGATTTTGTAGTTGGGAAATTGCTTTCTGTTTTTTTTTTTAATTGTTACGAGTCACTAATATCTCAACATGAAAGAGATATGGATGACTTAAAAGGAAGCCAAGGAAAAGTGAACAGAAATTGCATTTGTCAGTGTAGTGGTTGGTGATGATGTAAAGTAGTTAGAACTTAGAATTATTTTTTGCACCAAAATTCCCTCAAAAGAATGTTTGATTTGTTTAATATTATAATGAAGGTGCAAGCAAGAGAGACTATAGAAAGGAAACTATTCTTATTCTGAAAGACACTATTACACTTTGGCGTTTGTCTTCTCTGATTGAAAAACTTGTGTACCACATCTGATCCAAGGATGTTCACCAAGTGCATCAACAGTGTATGCAAGTATTTCATTTTGACTTGTATTGTAACTCTACAGGACAAAAAACAAAAAAGAAAGAAAAGAAAAAAAGGCAAATGATTAAGATATTGACCAATTTGCAACACAAATTGATAAGTCTAAAACTCTAAAGCTGTTTATTTGTTGGGTGGCTTCTTTTTTCGAATATAGATCACGATCAAAATCATTGCAGATAATAATGACCCGGTAACATGGTCGGGAAATCGTGCCTTCTCACGCCAATCTTGGCACGATCGCAGCAAAATAACCATTCATGGCTGATGGCTAAGGAAAAAAGAAAAGAAAAGAAAAAAGATTATGTTTTCATTTTTAGATGTTATCTAACAATAAAAGTTTAAATGGACCCGTGAGTTGAGTGTTTCTATTGCGAGTTTTGGATGGTGATTTGACCAATATAATATGGGCTAGTCACATAAGGTTGATATAAGAAGACTTTGGGTTGGGTAATCTGTTTTTTGAGCTGGTTGAGGTTGATGTGATGAAGATGATTATCCTTTGGCGCGATGATTCAGACTGAGGTACCTGTCATGACACTCTGACGCTCAAGTCAGTATCAAAGTCAGGTTTATGTTGTATTCTTACTAAATTAGATTATCATACCTGAGCATGTAGCCTTTGTTTATATAGTGAATCTGATGCCGCCTTTGGTAGGCGGTATGTCTTCTGATTGGCTGTTTATGGGCTGCAGGCTCAGCTGGTGCTTTCCTTAGCCTTATCTCATTATGTCAGGCTATCTTGTTAGAGTGGTGGCAAGCTGGTGTTGTCTTCTGTTTATTTGTTCAATGGCGCAGTGGATCTTTATTAGTTCCTTTAATCGCTTCCTTAACTCCAAAGTCATGTTGAAATGAGGTTTCAGACGCGATGATACCATCGCGCCCTCTGATGCGCGATTGAGGATATCAAGCCTTGTTCTAGGCTTTGTGGGTTTGGGTCTTGTTATTTGGATTTTAACTTTTGATGGGCCTACTGTTTTTTATCCAGATAAGGTGGTTTTGGCGTATTAAGATTGAGAATATTGTTTTTTTTTAATATTCCAATCAGTTCATCACTTCGTGACTAGTTCGATTCGTGACGGGTCCCAAGATTAAGGGTTTAAATCACTCCCAAAGATGGTACTGAAGAGGATCGAACACATGCTTTCACCTAGGGTTGGCAAAACGGGTCAACCCGGCCCGGCCCAACCCTCATTCAACCCGAAAAAAACGAGCCGGGTTAGGGTTGGCTCGAAAAAAAAATGAGCCAGAAAATCTAACCTAACCCGACCCGAGTCGGGTTAGGGTTGGCTCAAAAATATGGCTCGTGGGTTAACTTAAAAAAATAGCTCACGAGTTGGCTCGAAAATTGGCTCGCGGGTTGGCTCGTTTTCATCCTATTTAAATGACCTTGTAGTATTAATGCACCAGCTATGTAGCTTCCATCAGCTTAAACAAAGGGTTTCAAAATGAGAAATAAAAGCAAAATATTTTAGTTTCGAACTTTCTTCACAATAAATTTGTATCAACATCAAGAAACAATCAGAACCATTTGCTACCAAGTGGATAAGATATTTGAACCAAACAGAGTCAGCACAGCCTAACAATATAAAAATGACAGGATGTGAGAAGATTAGGGACTTAGGTTTAGAGAAGGAATAAAAATGATGACAACATGTGTAGGTTTTGTCCATTTTTGTATATTATATTTTATATTTTTTTATATAAAAAAAAAATCTTAACCCGCGAGCTGGCTCGTTTGACCCGCGGGTTGGTTCATTTTTTCACGAGCTGGCTCGGGTAGGCAGCTCATTTTTGCCAACCCAACCCGGCTCATTTTTAGCGAGTTACGAGCCAACCCGACGGGTTGACTCGTTTTTGCCAACCCTACTTTCACCATCACTTGCTCAATTTTCTGGCGTCAATTGAGCTACCATCGTTTGGTTTAGATTCATAATATTTTAAAGTTGTATGAGACAAATATGATACAATTTATCTCATTCAACATATAAAAAAATGGATGGGATCCACATATTTTCTTTCTCTCTTTTCTCCTTAATAGGTTCCATATTTTTTTTTATATATTACATGAGATAAATTGTCTCGTATATAAAGAAAAGCAATATTCCCAAACTTTTTTATATGTTGCATTAATATTTAGGTAGTATACATTTTGGGTAATACTTCTCTCATTTTACATTAACAACAAATATAGAGGCCACAAATTAAAGAAAAATAAAAAAGAAAGAAAATTAGGCACATTTTTTATGTCTATATGACATAAGATAGTTATCTCCTACTGTTTGGAGAAAACAATATCCCATATATTTTTTTGTGTTAATACGTTTATACATTGTATCTCTCAAATTGAACTGTGTAATCAATGTGTCTTTTCAATTTTCCTCTTATTTTATTTTCCAGATTATCTTTTCAGGTAAGCATGTTTTGATACATCATACATGCATTTGGGCCATATTTGAAATGATTAATGTTGTTAATTAATCATAACAGCTCTAGGGTGAGAAAATCACGAGCCTTAATGTAGGCAATCTTTAACATGTTTGAAGATGATGAAATTTTAGATATCCTAAAAGACAAAAGCAAATGGCAGGGTCCCGTTTTCTTGCACGCATGGCAACTAATTAAACCTATGATTTTGTCTGTCCAAAGTAGGTGTGCAAGAGCAACTATATAAAATGATGTCCTTATTTTATCTCATTTTCTCTTTTTTTAATCTTTTACACTCTTGGTTTATGAATGCAGGACAGACATAAGAAGTTAAAGATTACATATTCATATGAAATGACACAACTTGTATTGTAGATGCAAAAAGCGTTACTCCTTTGGTTTCTTTCAACGTTGTTTAGTCCATGTCTTCTTATTGTATTCAGTTTTGTTCTCGTTCTCATTCTAAATGTTAAAGCAAAAGAGTTTGTGACTTAATGTTGGATTTAGTGCTTAGCATTATGTGAAAAACTATAACAGGTCACCATTAGGCAATCATATTTTTTTTAATATCATACTAATTTTGCATATAAAATCATTTTTTTTCCCCTACATATGGGAACTGTTCACGATATGCTTGAAACTGATTAAACTCGAGAAGTTCTAATTAACAGAGGGACTTCCTAAAAGAAGTCTTTTATGATCTGACATATAGAATATATAGAAGTGTATAACTAAACTCTCGCTAATGGGTGGAACTTTCGAAGGTTATGTATCTTTCTTCTTCCTCTTTCAATGTAATTGTCATGACAGCAACTTCACTCATACTTGGTCTATCAGTTGGAGAAGGATTTATGCATTTTAATGCCACCTGCAACAAGTTCACCATCCTCTCTTCACTAGCACCTTGTGAGATTAAGGACTTGTCAAAAACTTCAAATGTCCATTCCTCTCTGAGCACTGAACTCACCCATTTAGCCAGATTGAACCCACTATTTTCAACTACTTTTCCGGTCAGCAGCTCTAGAAGTATCACACCAAAGGCATACGTATCAACTTTGAAGGTGTTATATGCATGAGCACTAGCAGCACTCAGACTCTTGTTTTTGAGACTTTTGCCTTGAGAAATTGCACTTTGAGCTTTATTTTCACTCACCATAAGACCATATTCGCTTATGTATGGATCCATATTCTTGCCAAATAAAATGTTACTTGATTTCAAGTTACCGTGAGCAATTCCACTTCCACAAAGCTCCTCATGCATATAAGCCAATGCATCAGCTATTTTAGCAGCAACATTAAGTCTGCTCCCCCAGTCAAAAGATTGGCCACTTGGGGATCCTGAAATATCATTTGAATTATAGAAAAACATTTCGTTAGATGCATTCATTGAGACTACATTCCAATGCAGGTCCATGTTAGAAAAAGTTAGCCCTGAAGAAAAACCAAAAGAGACCAAGAGATATGTCTCGCAAAAGGCAAAGAGCATCATACTGTGGAAAAACACTACTAAGCAATGTGTAATATGTCATTATTTAGTATTCGGTACATATGTAAGCAAATTTTGGTTTCCATTCTCATTGTTAGTTTACAATACCTCTTATGTTATGGTATAAAAGTGCATCCATTGGGTGGAGACTACTTACCTAGGCGTTATTACTTATTGTCACTATATCATTGTAAAGAACCAATTCAACCCAAAAGCTTAAGTTGTTGGGTGAGGTTATGTTAATGATTTTATATATCTCAACATGGTCTCTCACACGAGAGCTCACTGGGCTTGAAGGGTAGACAATGCACAGGCTCACCTACTTGTGCGCACACAGAAATTCCACTTGAAAGAAAGTGGGAGGCGACGGAGATCGAACCCGGGACACGAGGCTCTAATACCATGTAAAGAACCAATTACTTTGCAATCCTAAATGGATGAAATGACACCTTCTTAAACAACTTACCGCATAGCATCTTGAAGAGATTCCCATTCTCCATGTATTCATATGCTAGGAGCTTCTCATCTCGTGAGCAATAATATGCAACAGGTGGCAGTACGTATGGATGCTTCACTTGGCCAATCTTGGCCATCCTTTTCCCAAAATCTTGTTTTGGAATTCCCCAATCCTTGATCCTCTTGACTGCCAAAAAAAAACCATTGTCTAGCATCACCTTGTAGAGGCTTCCCTTCTTTCCTCTCCCAATCAATTCAGCAGGAGCTTTGAGCAAGTCCTCAAGTTGCAGTTCCTTTGATGCTGGGTTTGAAAAAACAACAAGAGTTGATGTATTCATCCCACTTTCAAGGGATGACATTGAATACTCGGATTTCATCCCAATGCTACTCCTAGTTTCAGAGGAAATTTCTCTAGGCCTTTCACCACTAGTTTCTTCTGCCACTTCCTTCATTTCAACGATTAATGCTTCTTCTTTGGTTTTTAATTTCCTTACCAATTTGAAGGCAAAGAAAAACAGGACCATTACACCAAGAATTACATAACCCGAATAAATAGCCAAACCATCAATGAAGGATTTTATGTCTTTCTTTGCATGTGGAGGAGGAGTAGGGGGGCATGCCTTTGGAAGTGGTGTTCCACATAAATTGGGATTGCCAGAAAAGCTGTCTACTTGGAATCCCCCTCTAAAATCAGGAAGTGGACCCTCTAAATTGTTGTTGGAGACATTAAACTCCAAAAGTTTGGAGAAGTTAAAATCAGGAATTTCCCCCGTAAATTTGTTGTTTTCAGCAAGAAAGGATATCAACCCTGAAACATGAATCACATTATAAAGCTCTCCAGAGAAGTTGTTGCTTGCAATATTAAGCCTCTCCAAATTGCCTAGTTCTGCAAGAGAAATAGGAAGATCACCAGAGAAGTTGTTCTCACTTAAATACAAATGATTCAAGGACTTGCATGTTCCTATATCCTCAGGTATCAATCCATGCAAATTGTTTTTCTTCAGGCTTAAGCTTTGAAGAGACTTTGCCATGCAAAGAGAACTAGCATCTAAAGTCCCTCTTAAGCTGGAATCATCAACAACTATAGTATTCACATTCCCCTCTAAGCAGCTCACACCATACCAATTTCCATTGCAGGGATCTGAAGAGAGGTTCCAACTCAAGTACTTGGCATCCCTTTGTGGATTCCCTTGTGCAAGTTTGTCCATGAATCTGACTAGGGCCTGCTTAACCACTTCATCCTCTGAATATGTCATTGGAAAGAACAAAAATATGACAATGAAAAGTCCCCATATGGGGTTTACACCCACCATTCTTGCAACAACAGTGTTGGGTTCTTTCTTGTTTCTCTTGAGTCTGTAGTGGTTCTATATTTTTGGTTTCCTTGTTTGCAGATGTTTTGTATAATCATAAGAGTGAAATTAGCTTAACACTTCTATAATCAACTGTTGTATGGTCACTTAGGCCGTTACATTACATTGCCAATTGGCTATGGCTTATTAAACAACAATTTTATGTATTGTTCTTGATGAAATTGACAATGAGAAGGTAACAACAACTTTAGTAGCTGCCGGCATCTTGAAAGGGTCACACACAGTGAGTATCACATCTTTCTCTAATAGCTTCTTAGGGTTTTACTCTTAATTTTTTATTGCTAGGCTTGGCTGCTAGTAGTGCATAATAGCCTAATCGGTGCAACATTTTTAGTTCCTTTTTTTTTGTGATCTCGTGTTTACAATTACAATAAGATTTGGAGCACTTATAACTCTATAGTCATTGGACCCAACATGATATATTAAGTAATTATAAATAATTTCAAATTAAACAAATTAAAAATAGCATTTAAGAATTAATAATATTGATGAATTTGTACATATATACTCAAAATATTTCAAAGTTAAATATTTTGAGTTAATTAAAATATCTTTTATTAATAATTTAGTGTAATTTTATTTATATTTTTAAAGCAATAAAAAAATTATATTTAAACAGTTAATATATAAATTTTAAAAATAATAATAACAAAGTTTGCTAGTATAAGCACTCAGTTTATGTTGGTTTACAGTTTAAGTATTATATTACATTCACGCCAGTTTACTCTGATTTATATGATTATGAAACAAAGCATTCAATTATAAAACAAAACTAATTCGATGGATACGAAGAGGGGCAGCGAAGACTTATTACTGTGCTTATAATAATTGTAAAAAACAACGAGCACAAGAAGGGAGTTAAAACATCTTATGCTTTGTACTAAAAAACAAAAAAACATCTTATGCTTACCATTCATGGATGCTTATAGCTTTCGGTTGTTCAAGTAAAGCAAATTAAACATTACATTTCCAAGGCCATTTACTAGAGAGAATGGCAACTCATGGAAATGTAAGATACCTCTTCGCCTTAATGTTCCTTGAAAGCCAACATTGGTAAAAGAAAAGGAAAAAAAAAAAAACAGAAAAAAAAGAAAAAAATAGTTGCGAAAATATAAAATTATAACCAACCGAAAGGGAAAAAAAAATGTAAATTATGTAGTTGACGTCCGAATGTGCCAGTTTTGAGTGAAAGAAAAAGCTTCTTGCTATTAAGAAATGAGTGTTATTAATCTCATGTTAAAAAAGATAAATTATTTCATGTCATAAAGATAAATATGTGAATCTCACTATTTGTAAAAATAAAAAAACTCATGGGACCCACTTTTTTATTAGTGTAGGAGAGAGAACATTGTCTCCTTTAACATAAAAAAAAATATTTTCCCTTAAGAAATGGCCATCTTGGAGCAATTAAGCAGAATTGTTAAAGGGTTTTATAAGAGTTATGTTGTAGGAAAAGTAATTGTGTAATGTTATAGAGATTCGTTTTGCGTGCTTTAATTTTTTATTTATTTTTTTTGTTTTAAAAAGTGTGGACCCCACAAAATGTTGTGAGTATAAGAAAGTTTGTTGTGTTATGTTAAAGGGTAAAATGAAAACCCATTGTTAAAACTATCTTTCTCTTTGTGTTTATGATACATAACTCCAATGACCAGAAGAAATATATTTCCACAATTGTAAATTATACATTTAGCTAAGTATATAAGAGAAAACGATGAACTCTTTTTTTCAAAAGGTATCTTTTTCTTGTTTTTCTAAATACTGAAAGTCAAAACGTATTATACGATTAAAATCCTAACTAAGTATTTCACGAATGACTTATATAACATATACGACTAGTCCTCGTTTCTGTTAAAACAAAATGTAACAAATAGGAGAAAAAGACAAGGCATTTATACGTTTGCTATATTTGTGCATGCCTACATTGTAATTTTTAAAACAACATCGTGTGTTTCTCTCATTATACGAGGTGAGCTTTATCTTATACATGCCTTATCATATATAAAGTTAACTTTGATATCCGACATTTTTGTATTAAAAATTAATATACATTTTATGACATAAGATTTATATGAATATATAGATATATAAAATAATTAAAAATAGTAAAAATAATAATAACACTAGAAAGCTATCATGGCGACCATTAATTTTAACTAAGTTGATCAGAACAAATAAATTCAAAATTGTCCTAATTTTGAAGTACATATATACGAGGAATGTTATATTTACAAAATTTATTTTTACAAACTACACTGTATTAGGGGTAGTACATTGAAATGTATCACCCTATTACGTAGTTTGTAAGAGTTTATAAACTAAGAGTTTGTAAATATATTTTCTACATATATATATATATATATATATATATATATATATATATATATATATAGGAAAATATTTTTCTTATGTTGTAGAAAAAAGTTACCTCATGTTGTACAGATAAAATTAAAAGTGAGACCCACAAGTAAGAGGAGAGAAAAAAGAGAGTGTGATGGAACTCAATGCCTTTTTATGTGTGTAATAACCCATATATATATATATATATATATATATATATATATATATATATATATATATGAGAAAGTTATATTAAAAACTTTTTGTTTACAAACTACACTAAGTATAACCGATCATACTTTAATCAAGAGTGCATGACCAGTCATACTTAGTTTAATTTGTAAAAAAAGTTTGTAAATAGATCATTCCCCTTATATATATATATATATAGAGAGAGAGAGAGAGATGGGGGTAAGATCCTTTGACACCAGTGTTAAATTTAAAATATGACACATCATCTGAGAGCTGTTAGATCAAAAAAATCAATGGTGACACATGCTTACAAATCAAAGTCGTTGATTTTTTTTATCTAACGACTCTCAGATAAGGTATCAAATTTCAAATTTGAGACTGGTGTCAAAGGATCTTACCTCATATATATATGGGGTAGGATATTCTTACACCGGTATAAGAGTTAAAAGTCTTACACTCAATCTTGACCATTGATCCACTTGTATCTAATGGCTCACCATACTACCAAATTTGAGCCCTTAGATATAGATGGGATCAACGGACAAGATTGAGAGTGTAACTCACACTGGTGTAAAATGATCTTAATCCTATATATAAATATATGTGTGTGTGAAAAAAGTGTTTCTCTGACGGAAGATAAAATTATCTCTTATAATCCCAAAACGACGTTATTTTAGGGTTTAAAATAAAAAATAAAAGATATTTTGAAAATTTTATTTTCCTATTGTAACATATATTTTACTAAAAAATACTCTTTATTTTTTATTCTAAACCTAAAATGATCATTTTGAGATTGTAAGAGATAATTTTATCCCATGTAACATGAGAAACATTAATCTCTATCATAGGAGATAATTTTATCTCCTGTAATAGGAAAAATACTTTTCCATATATATATATATATATATATATATATATATATATATATATATATATACACACACGATCCTTTGACATCAGTGTCAAATTTAAAATTTGACACCTGGTCTGAGAGCCATTAGATCAAAAAAATCAATGGTATCACATGCTTACAAATCAGAGTCGTTGATCTTTTTTGATCTAACGGCTCTCAGATGAGGTGTCAAATTTGAAATTTGAGATTAGTGTCAAAGGATCTTACCTCATATATATATATATATATATATAATGTTGATGACCATTGTACTCAATATGAATGAGAAAAAATATATATCAAAGAATGTGTTAATGGAACAAAATTCAAATCACAAAGTGCAACTTTTAGAATCACATTGACAAAGTGAGACTAGACCAACTTATATAATGGTACTAAGATTTATAGGTATAGGATTATAATACCAGAATTATTAAAATATACCCTAAACAGATCCATTGCTAACAACCAAGGGATCATGAAACCGGGAAACAACCGGCACCGCAACTTAAAACTTACACACTAATATTATTTTAAATTTCCATTTACTGAGCAATACCCTAATCAATTCAGTACAGGAATAAGAATTATAATTTTACAGGCAGAAAAAATAGTATATATAATCCTACGTCTTATAATTTAACAAGTAAACATGTAATGTTTTTCTGGTTGGTACTACATTGACCCTTCAAAGGTTTTATATAAATCGAAGATCATTCATGGATCAGCATGACCGGGAATGTCATCATCACTGAATCCACTTTCTTCTTCACTGATCTCCTCCTCATCTCCACTCTCCTCATCTGCTGTAGAGGTGGTAATGTTTTCCTTCTTAGCATACCTCTCACAATACTCTGTCCCCACAAATAGCAAAGCAATGTTTTACATATCTTTTGTCACCACAAAACACCCCCCATTCACCAAAGGACCGGAATTTTTTCAACAAAAAAAATTCAAATATTCAGATATTATGAGGCAGTCTCAAGTACAAAAACTATCATCATGTTTGAATAATTCATCCATTGCTCAAGATATGCAGTAGTAAAGCATTGCATGATATAACTTCCTAAGTGTTAGAAGAGGGAATACATAAACTCAAAAAAGCAAGAGACTGTTACGCACGGGTTTAAAGCATTAGTACGGTTTTATCATCATAAGACAATTATACCATCAATGAAGGACCAAAATTTAGATAAGTTTCTTCCCAAGATATTAAGCTATTCAATCAAAAACTAATTAATTTAGGAGATTCACATTAAGAATTACTATAATAGATTACAGGCACTACTCCACAAGCTGAGTCAGTGAAGTGGGATCATGGACTCAAATAGCAAAACCATCATAAGATTTGGTCTTAAAAGTATGAGAAATAGTAGCAGCTCTTGACAAACAATATGCTCACCTTTAACTTTTTGGTCATACAGCTTTTTATCCTTCATCATTAACGATGCTGCATCGCCATTGAGAGGATCTGAAGCATTTGGATAAAGCAAGAGTTGTGGAAGAAATACTTCAAAGACATTTAGAAGATCTGAAAAAACAGAAACCTTGGTCATCTATAAAAATCAAATACAAAATCAGAAAAAGGATAAATGAAGGCGGTCAGTCCATATAATCCTGTTAAATTTCACACACATAATTATGCATGCAAAAAGTTCATAAACCCTCTTGTGGTTTACTCTTTTATCACTTACATCCCCATATTTTTTTTCTTATCAATTAACCCCGTTTGATTTTTTTTCTATCCAAGTCCACTTTGAACATTGTTGATAGTTAAATTAACTTGCCCTTTTCACCCCTATGCTTCAGAAGCAGCATGTTGTTGTGTTCTGTCTTCTTGCAGCTGGTTCGCTCGAAGAACTTGTTTATTGACGTCAGCTGTACAAGCAGCAGCTCTCAAACATTGCTGTCTCAGGAAAGATGGAAAAACGATATTTTGAAGGTGTCTAGGTACCAAAATCTATGTCTTTTGGTTTGGCATTTCTTTTCACTTATTTCTAATATTTTTTAAAATAATTCCCAGAATTGCTTAATTAGTTTACTTGCAGGACTGCAAGGAATTCCAAGGGGAGCTTTTTGGAATTAGCAATTTATTTTGAGATTTATCTGATAAGCTATTTACCAGTGAGATCATTGAATTGAGTAAGGAACATAGGCAAAAAACAGAACAACAGGAAAAATTAAATATCTCTGAAGAAACATATTCATTAGTATCAGACTCTGAAACTGGGTTATGTACTGAATCTGTGAGGGCTGCAACAAGTTTTATTTAATGTTTTTACTTAACTAAAATCCTACTGTGAGATCAAGGGTAAAATGGGCAAGTTTGCTCAATTACCAACGGTGTTAAAGGTGGTTTGCATAAAAAACAACAACAAAAGGGTAATTGATAAGATAAAAAAACACAAGGGTAAAAGTGATAAAAAGAGTAAAATACAGGATGTAAGTGATAAAAGAGCAAAGCATAGAGGGTCATTCTACATGTCGGCGTACATACACAAGAATATGACAAAACAATAGAATCTTTAGATGCTGAATACTTGAAACATTTACTATGAAAAGCCTATAACTGCATTACCGAACATTGGGCTCCATGATTGGTTAATCACATCCAAGCACACAGAGCCAGATCTGCAGTTAACGAAATATACAAAGCAGAATTAGCCATAATCCGTGTGAACAAACTCCTACCAATAGCAAGTTGTTGCTGGGACGTAATCCTTTTAAGAAATTTTATTTCCCTCTTGTACAAAATCTCAAAATCAACACCATCTTTATCCCAATCAGGGTCGATGGTAGATGAACCCAAAAAATGGTACGGAAAGATTGTGAAAAAAAAAAACCTAAGAAAACTAAAAAAACTTTAAGAATATATATAATATTATCCATAGAAAAGCAGTACACAATTACAAGGAAAAACAAATTAAAATAAAATACAAATAAGAATATATAGGAGGACAGAAGAGAATAAGAAGGTAAGAAATAAAAAATCAAAAAAAATAACATAAAAAAGGATATAGGGAAAAAGGAAAAGAAAAACACATAAATAAATAGGTAGGAGAAAAAGATTAAAAGGAAAAATGGAATAAAAGAGAAAAAGGAAGAAGAAAGATGGGGGAGATAAAAAGGAAAAAGGATTAAAAAGGAACCATCCAGAACATAGGAATAAAAACAGGTCTAACCCTCCACCATGCTTATAGCTCTTCTCCACTCCGTCCTAAGACACACTGTCCGTCAATTTATATCCTACTCCATTAAATCTTGTTTTACTACCTTCCCTCAAGTAAGTTTCGGTCTACCTCTACTTCTTTTTATGTCAAACTCTTGGTAACAAACCTTTGTTCTTACGGAAGCATCCAAGTGTCTTCTCATTACATACCCAAACCACCTCAATTTATGTTCTCTCATCTTTTCCGCCACTGATACTACTCCCATCTTTCATCGAATATCTTCATTTCTTATCTTATCCAACCTTGTATAAGCACACATCCACCTTAACATCCTCATTTCCTCTACTCACATTTTATGCTCATGTTGCCTATGTGCTGACCAACATTCAGTTCCATATAATATTGCAGGCTTTACTACTGTTCTATAGAATTTTCCTTTTAGCTTAAGAGGGATTTTGCGATCACACAAAAACCCAGATGCACTACACTATTTCATCCACCCTAGTCTATTCTATGATTTACATCCTCATCAATCTCTCCACCTTTTTGCAAAACTAATCGCAGATATCTGAAAACATCTTTCTTGAGTACCTATTGTCCAAGCAGACGCACAAAATCTTAGTCTCTATCTCCAGCCAGAGAAAACTCACTTCATATACTCATTCTTACTCCGGCTTAACGTATATCCTCTTAACTCCAACGTGCTTCTCCACAATTCTAGTTTTCTATTAACACCGGCCTTGGTCTCATCAATAAGTACAATATTATCTGCAAAAAGCATATTCCATGGCACTTGCTCTTGAATATCTTTTGTTAGTTCATCTATAACTAAGACAAAGAGATCAGGACTTAGAGCAGAACCTTGATGTATACCTACTGTAATAGTGAAATAATTTGATGTTCCATTACACGCTTTCACACATGTAGTAGCACCATCATACATATCCTTAATTGCATCTATATACTTTGATGGTACTTTTTTCTTTTCAAGAACCCACCATAAAACTTTTCTTGGCACCCTATCATATGTCTTCTTAAGATCTATAAACACTATATGTAAGTCCTTCTTCTTTTCTCAACATCTCTCCATTAATTGGTGTATCAAGAAAATAGTACATCTTCCTGGTATAAAGCCAAATTGATTTATAGAGACCTTGCTCTCTCACTTCAAGCAGTGTTCAATAACTCTCTCCCACATCTTCATAGTATGGCTCATAAGCTTAATGCCTGTATAATTAGAATAATTTTGAATATCTCCCTTGTTTTTGTAAATAGGCACAAACAAACTTTTCCTCTGAATATCAGACATCTTATTTGTTTGAAGAATCTTATTGAAAAGATTGGTCAGTCATTTTATTACCACATCCCCCAGGCTATCTTTTTGAAAACAACGAACAACAAACCAACAGAAAAGCAGTATGTACACTAGACAAATAAATGAAAGTAGTTGATATGACATATCATGGGACCCAAACCTAAAAGTATTAAATCCACCACCAAAAATAAAAAGATTGGTTAATAGCGTATGGAGTGCTCACAACTCATCAACATTTGGGTGGAATATTTTATTCACAAATCCTATAGAAGGGGATTTGTACGGATAAGCGTCAGGGAGCTCAACTCGAATTTTCCAGACTCCACCTTCATAAAGGCCTGCAACAATCACATAAATGTAATAAATCAAGGAACAACCAGATAGCTTAAACATGATAATTAGTCTTGGCACTCGCAACCCTTTTAAAGATAAGGAAACCAATACCAAGCTAAAAGACGAGGTAAAACATGGAAAGATTAGATGGAAATTTATGCTAATAGAGATAAAGGAACTCCCGATTAAGGGTTTTTTGCCCTGCCTTTTTTGTCCTTGAGAAAGGAAAAAATGAAAAATCTTCGTCTAACAAGCATTTGATTAGTAAGAAATTCTTCATATACATGTGCAGTTTCATCAAACAAAAGACTAAGTTAGCTCTAGAATGTCAACAGTACTTTCTTTTGGACCATGAAACTCCACATTGAATTCATTGAGTCCATCATTTATCGTCTCCACTGTATAATCACTCATCATCCTGTAAAAAAGGAAGGAATATTTGAGAAATATGACTACGAATTTTTTTGCTAAGAGTGAATCATACATACGTGTACAAGAAATGGGTAAGATGTAAACATAATGCTAAGAGTGATAGTCTGAGTTCTCCTAACAATATAATAGGGAACTATCATGGGCATGCATCTACAAATTAGTACTTGCATATGCTTCTAATTCTAGACTGACGATGGTATCATAATTAGGATTGTTTGGGCAATGCCAAGTGCCTCAAAAGTACAAGCCTTTGTCATTTGCACATACTTCATAATCCTCACCATTTTAGCAATGCATTAAAGGATGTAAAAGTTACTTGATATTTTGTTCTAGGTACATATAACTAAATTAAGTCCATCCCATATAACTTCATTATCAATTTCATCCATGCTATTCTCGCCATAAATTTAGCAACTAATTCAAACTCTGTCTGCACTTTCCAATCAAGCATCTACAACAACACCCACCAGTCCACTATGATGCCAAAGCCCATAAGCACCGTATTGCACCAATACAGCATCTTTCTCCATTACAACCTTTATTTGGGTAACAAGAATATGCCCAAAAGATATTTCCACCAAGAGACCAACTTGTCACCGTTACTCAGTTTATTACCTATATTTCCCCATTGGGAGTGGGTCCTCTCATGCTCCTTTTTAACATGATCATGACATGTGAAAAATATGTAATTCATTGATAGATCAATAGCCAACAATTAAAGTGACCATGTTCTCTTTACAATCTTTGTTATTACACTTATGACCATTGATCTTTCAATGAATGACTGAGATTTTTTAATGATGTGATCATGTTAAAAAGAGACATGAGAGAGTCCATTCCTTGACTGATGTCAATAACACCAACGCAAAGGGAAAACTAAAAATAAATAAATGGATCCATAAATTTGTAATGGAGAGCATCAGATGTCATTAAGATTGGTTAATTTTTAGGAGGAAGAAAAGGAAAGTGGAGAGAAGGAAATCATTTTATAATGAGAATTTACTTTGACAAAGTATTACATGGTTTTCAATCATTCAGCGTTGAAAAAAAAAACAAAAAGGTTGCATTAGAAAATAAAATCATCAAGAAAAGTAGTGTTTTAATCCTATCACGGGGCAACATGCTGGTATAGCATTCACCTTCAGGCTTCAGCCTGGCAACACCACCACCTTCATAAAATAAAACAAAACACACGATTCAAATGAGACGATTACCCAACATTGCTGAAGCATTTTATTTATTTTTATTTTTTTGGGGGGGGAGGGTGACACTAGGGTTATCACAATTCTCACAGAAACTGCCAACAGGCTAAGACTAAGCAAGGTAGTTTTCAATTAATTTGAATTTCTTTTCTTCATTCTTTCCTCTATTGTTCTTAGTAATCTGCAAATTCCTATCCTAGTGAAGAAGGGTGACATATGTGTTATGACCAAAAAAAAAGATTATGCCAAAATGTGATGTGACGGAGTAAAATCATAAACAGTTTTAATTTTTTTATTTTACGGTAGGTTTCTACGTTTGACATATCATGCGTGACGAATTTGATTGGTTTCTACTGTTCTTAATTTGACAGGTTTGATTCATGTAATCAGCCTCTTGCGAATACAAGGTAAGACGGTCTACTATAGACCCACACAATGGGTTGAACCCTTTCCTGGACCTTGTGCATACGGGAGCTTTATATAACTTTATAGCACCAATTTAAACTGCCAAGTTTTGTAAACGGCTAAGATACATTTTACCTCCCTGAAGTATATCCCTTTCTCAACTTACCCCTAAAGTTATCTTTTTGTCACTTAAACCTCATGTTTGGTTTTAAGAAAAAAATTACTTTTTCAGTTAAATCAAATGGAACATAAGGCATTAGGAATGTTCCCTTACCATTACAAAACTGAGGTTTTTCTTTATCATTTGACACCCCCTCCCCCAAAGTTTGTCTATTTATCACATAACCCCCTTGAAGTTTGGTTTTAGGTGTCTAGAGGTTAACTTCTGTTTGGCTAACTAAAAATTAAATGATTTCAACTACAAGGGGTTAGGGGATAGCAAAAAGACTTCGAGTGAGTAAGTTGAGAAAGGGCTATATTTCAAGGGAGTAAAGTGTATTTTACCCTTTATAAATCTTACACTCCTTTTTTTTTAGTAATGGATGTCTTACTTCACACAAGCAGTCTAGGTCATTCTGTCAAACTGAAGTCTACTTTTGTGAACAGGCCCAAAACCGTAAATGAATCTCACATGTAAAGAAACTACAAATTCTTCCTATAAGTCAAATTACCAAATTCAGAAAAATCTTCCCATATTAAGAACTTGGGTTCAAGATCAAGCGATAGCAGAATAGAAATGACCATATCAATGTGCCAAAAGTGCTTCTACACGGTATGAATAATCAAAACAGATTTCAACTATAACATATTTCAATTAATTTGGTAATGTACCGATTTCCACCAACTTATGAAAAGGTTATCAAAACTAATTCAACAACAGTTTAAAAGAATATAAGTATCAAAACACAGTAAAACAATCTACTTACAATTTCATAACATCCATTTCTCTTCTCTTGCTCGGAGATGACATTTTGACTATAACAAATCACTTATTTCAACCTGCTAGAAGGACAATTAAGCAAAGTTAGTTTTTGTCAAATGTACATTATAGTTTCCATCTTGACTACGATAGAAGGTTCAAAAACAAAAGTCACTTCCAATATGTAGCCTATAAGCTCAATGCATTTCCATTAAATTTAAAAGAGGACGGGGAACTTGTTGATATAGCTCTGTTGCGGTGTGTCTACATAGCAAACTGACAATAGTTTTGCCCATAAAGATTCACAAGACGCTGATGAATGAGATAGAGAAGTAGAAAGCTAAAGTATAAGAAACCTTGAAATTGATTTGATGTCAAAAACAAGGATCAACAGATGTGTCTCTATTGATCCTGTTAGAGAATAATATAAACTATTAAAAAGGCCCTCACCCAACACCTTAAAGTTTTGGGTTGAAGTGGTTCTTTACATGGTATCAGTATCAGAGCCTCAATGACCACAAGGTCATGAGTTCGATCCTTACCGCCCCCCCACTTTCTAGTAAAATTAAATAAGCACAAGGTAAACCAAAAATTGAGCCTGTGTAATATCCACACTTCAAACCCAAAGGGCCCTTGCGTGAGGAGATGTATTAGAAAATAATATAAACTATTAAAAAGGCCTTCACCTAACACCTTAAAGTTTTGGGTTGAAGTGGTTCTTTACAGGTCCATAAAAAGAAATCATATGAGTAAACAAAGACATCATCTATCATATGAAAGAAGAAGAGAGTAAAAAGGAAACTGAATAAGCGTTCTCACTATGCAACATAAAAGAAATACGAATGCGTATACAAATGAAGGACAAGACCTCGAATAAAACAAACCAAAGGTTTTCATTCAATAGTGTGGATCCAAACAAGATATATATGAAGGACAACAACTTGAATATGACAAACCAACGATTTTCACTTCATCATTGATCCCCAAAAAAAGGACAAAGTGGACAAGGCGAATTTTAGAGCCCAGAAAGTTTACACTAGGAAGCATCACAGGAAACCACAACCCCCACTTGATGTGTCAGCATCCAGGCAGTTAGGAGAGAATATTCCCCAAGAAGGTGTAGGTGAGGGAATACACATTGATGCCAGCATGGATAACAGAATGAGTGAGGCAGTTGGAGGTCTTGGCAGTATTAAATAGGTGAATAGGAGTTTGCGGTAGGACACGGTGAAACTTGGGCTTGTATTGGGAGGGTCACAGAGCTCCTCGAATTGCTCTGTACTTTATCATTTTCGTTTACTGCCATTGTTTATTGTTCATTTTACAGTTCCTCATTTCCGTTTTCTTTTCTATTGATAATTGGTGACTGTATCACAATCTTCCATAATCAAAACATCAGTCATTTTTCAGTTCACAATTTCTTGGTATTGGTTGATTGTATCAGCAAACTATTCTATATTATGCTTGGTGCAACGAATGATCAATATGACACTCAAAGTCATAAAAAGCAAAAACGGATGAACACAAAGAAAGTTGGGATCCAGATTATGGAAGGAACAATTAATGCTCAAAATGTAGGGATCACCCACTAGACAATCACATCAGGCATAAGTAAATTAACAGTCCTTTAGCAATGGTTAAGTTCCTGCCTTCTTGTAGAAGATTACTATGTGTATAAAGCAACAGATAAAACAAAATCACTTCATATATTAGGGAGCACATAGCAAACTTGACAGAAAAATAGACACAATCATTTTGAGGTATATAGTTCTACTCATCGCAACACGTATTTAAGAAGTTTATAGGCAAACTTACACTAAATTTCAACAAAAATATAAACTTAGTATTGAAGAAGGCATCAAATGGTGAGAAATTCTATTACAATGATACAAGCATCTATGTGAATAAAAAAAGTGGACAAATATTTTCATCATTTAGTGTATTGAAAGACAAAGTCAAGAGATCCAAAGGAGGACACTAAACAACAGTAAATAAAGGCAGGGTCTCATAAGCTATGGAAATTTGGCAGAAACAAAAGCTATACAAAGTATGTGATACACAATGTGGCAAAACTGCTTGCTTTATATGGCACAAAGTAAAAATATAATCTTTTGTAAATGACTACGTCGATTCCAAACACAGATAAATACCCAGAATTCCTTAATTTACTTTGATCAACTTCCCAGCAACCAATGCGGCAATAATAGGCAAAATGAGAAAAAGGCATATGCACTGTAATTAATCAAGAGCAATACCAACACAGAATGCACCGACCCATGTTACAAAAAAATCAACATAGATTCTGATGTGAAGATCTATGGTTGACCCATTTAACCAGAAATAAAGAAAAACAATTGTGGATTGTTAACTATGCTTCAGATACTGGAAAATCAAAACCCAGAGAAGATAGAACAGGAAAAGTGGATTGATATCTTAGAACTGACACTAAAATTTCGGGAAAAATAATGGCTTGCCTGAAACACTTATTTGGCGTTTGGCGATGGGCTTCAAATGAGAGAGTAATTGCAGGGGAAAAGAAAAAAGGTCACAGAGAGAGAATGTAAATGAGAATGAGGAGGAACACATATATAGGGAGTGGGTGTGGGATACAAGAAGATGGATGCTAACGTTGGACATACCACGTGTTATCAAAAAGTTACCACAACGTGGCCATCAAGTTTCTGGTAAGTCCTAATTAGTAATTAGAATTTATTAAGGCACATAATGAAAATAAAATTATTAAATATGAAATAAAGTATTTATTATGAGTAAAGTGTGTGTCATTTTAAAGAACTAGTGTATTACCCGTGCGTTGCACGTAGGAAAAAAAATCGATTTATTTGTCTCGTAAAAACTAACGTAACATATGCAAGATGTCGAACCTACATTTGTGATCCTTCATCCTCTTAGAAATGAATTAGTAATATAATCTACAAATGAAAGTATGAAGAAAAAAAAACACATGAACATGTGAGTACAAATAAAAAGTGTTATAACAATACATCCATATATTGATAACCATGGAATATTGTTGGTTCAAAAATAGCAGTTAACAATATATCATGTGTGCATGAAAAGCGATTCCTGCATGAGAAAAAAAAAGTAGCAATTAAAAAAACCTAACGTTAACGAATATAAATAAAAAAGCACTTCATTGCCATTTTTTTTTGTCTTTACCTGTACCAAGGAGTGATGTTATCTCATAGTAGACAGAAGGAAATTCACAAGATTAATCTTTGAAATACTTGCTTGTAAATTATATTAAGGGTATTATTTATAACACAACCGTTTTCATCTAGGTTTTTATATTTTATCTCAGAAATGAACTTTCATTTACTACAATCAGATTTATAAAATAATAATAAATAATTATTATTATTGCAAGGATTAGTGTCGTTAGTCTTTGGAATTTCACAAATTTGTATTTACAAAAATTGAAATCAGATTTAGTAATTTAATTATAAAAGAATAAGGATAAAATTTCAGTTGAATTATAAAAATATATTGGCGGGCTGGCCCTCCGGGCCGAGCTCAGTTTTCCACCTCTAACTGTCATTTTTTATTTAAATTTAAAATTTAAAACTTTTTATATTAATTATACATATTTAGATAATTTTTTTCCATTTTAATTTATGATATTTATATATTTTTTTAATTGGTTATACATGTATATTTAAATTTTTTATGTTAAATATAATTTAAAAAATACATGTATATTATTTTAATTGGTTATACATGTATATTTAAAAATTTTATGTTAAAATTTTAATTTATTTTTAGTAAAGTATAAATTACGCCATTTCTTATTTTTTTTTTAAATTTAAAATTTTAAATAATTTTTATCGACTATAAATGTATTTTTATAAATTTAAATATTTTATTGTTTAATCTATAATTTTATATTAAATTTAAATTTATTTTATATATCTTTTTTCACTGCATAAATATTAAATGCTGAACTTTTTTTTCCACACATCAAGTTCACATAATTTTTCATTTAATATATTTACAGATTTTGAATTTATTTTACAATATAAATAATTTTGTTATTTTACAACTTTTTTCATGTTTTTGTTTTTTTATGCAGCATTAATAGGGCTAACAAATATCCATGCAAAAAATAGTGGGACATTGAATGAGTTGTCTACCACCATAAATGATTAACTTATTTTTTCATTGATTTATTTTGATTTTTAAAAGAAATTATTATTTATTTAATTTTTTATTTCCAAATCCTTTCCCACTGTTACAATTTGAAATTTAAAATTGAAATCCAAAATTTGAAATCAATTCAGAATTCGAATTTCAAAAGAGTGAGCAATTTCATTGCAGAAAGCATTTAAAAGAGCTGAATAATTTCAATGTACAAATGAGTGGGACATTGGATGAGTTGTCTGCATAAATAATTAACTTAATTTTCCATTGATTTTTTATTTTTATTTTTAAAAGAAATTATTATTTATTTAATTTTTTATTTCCAAATCCGTTCCCACCATTACAATTTGAAATTTAAAATTGAAATCCAAAATTTGAGATCAACTCAAAATTCGAATTTTAAAAGAGTGAGCAATCCCACTTCTTTGTGAGAGTAAAAAGATATAAGTTGTGTCATTTAAAAGGATAAATATTTTTTCAATTTATTATATTGAGAATGAGAAGTTAAAAAGTATTTATTACTTTTTTCGAAGACCTCTAGTAACTGCACAAATTTAGGTGTGAATTGGATTGAAATTTTAATTGATTGTTTTTAGACGAAAAAATTTATTGATATTTAATTAAGATTACAAAAAACTTATATGGTATTCTATTAGAATTTTAAAAGATTGTTTTAAAGTCCACCCAAATTAGATGATATTCAATCAAGATTTTAAACAGAGAAAAGTAATTTTGTGGTAATCAAAAAGGGTTCGTTTTTCTACCGTCAATGTAGATAATTTATCTACATTAAGTCTGAAATGACGTCATTTTGAAGTTGAAATCAAGGTATTTTTGTAATTATAATTTATTTCAATGTTATAATAGTCTTTTTCGTTATAATTTTTAATTTTTTAACCCAAAACGACGTCGTTTTGGGAGCGAATGTAGATAACTTATCTACATTCACCGTAGAAACATTAAAGCCATTCAAAAATATGACAATTTTAATGATTTTCTATTAGTATGGATTTTGTGAGACTTTTTAATGAGAAGTATAAATAGCATGCCTTTTTCACAATCTCACCCTAATCTCTGGAATTTCTTGAGATTTCTTTATTGCAATATCACACAATCTATCCTAGCTTTTTTCTCAAAGCCAAGGTATGTTCTTTTTTGACTTTCATACATTTTCTCTAGTTTTGGCATTTCTCCTTATGCTATCTTCTTCATGATTAACTGATAATTTATGGTTGTGTTTGTCGTCTCTAATGATGTGTTACATTTTATTTATTTATTTATTTATTTAATCGTAGCACTGGTAATACGTTGACGATAAACATGTTTAATAAACAGCATGTTGCCGATAAAAATTTCTCAAGACTTTTATGCATCATATTAGGCACACAATGAGAGACAAAATTTTAATATTCATTTGTTGAATAACAAGGAAAAAAAATCGTTGTTGCTATTGTATAACTTGCTTTCGTCACTGATTTAAAAGAGCATCTACTCAACAATGTTAAGAATTCTCATAACATAATGAATTCAAGTTACTATTTGGCAAGACAGTGAGTAGAAGAATAATGCACACTACATGTGACAGCTTTTCATTTTATGATCTATTAAATTGGAATAAATACATTTGCATTTACTATAATTCATAAAAAATATTTTAAAAAATATTGATAAAAAATAAATACAGCTTTTCATTTACTATAATTGATAAACATTTTTAAAAAATATTGATGAAAATGAAATACAAAATTTTAAATGTGAATAACATGCTCCATCACACTAATAACATGCAAAGGTATCACAAATTTTTAATTAATTTTATGCATACAAATTTTTGATTTGATTATCCTTCATAAAAATCAGTTTGAATGTTCGTTAAAAATTTATATATTTTTAAAATCTTATAAATTTATATTGTCCTTTCAAATATTATAAATTCTATTAAAATCTTTTAAAATTTAATCTTATAAAATCTTCATTATAAAAAATATCTTTTAAAAAAGACTTTAAAGTCACTATAATTTTATATAATCTTTTAAAATCTATAAGATTTTTTATATCAAAATAGTTTTTTAAAATTCTAATTCAATACCGCTCCTTACATTAGCCTCCACTTAGGACAATTGTATGATCTAAATTCGAATTTAGAATCCTCTGTTTATATGTGATATTTTTTTTCATTATAAATCTGAGATAATTACATTACCTCTATGTGAGGCTTAAGTGACGATAAAATTAAAGATCGACAAACTTTTACAATTCTATACTTTTCTTTTGCGCAATGTTTCTAAATTCTATACTGATAATGGCATTGTAATCAGGATTGTTTGAGAAACGTCACTCAAAATCCAAACGTTTGTTACTCGTTTTTATTTTTTTATTGGAGCTTAATATAAATACACATAGTTCGTAAACATCACCATTCTAGCAATCTATTCTATGTGGATTTCACGAAATTAACTATGAAAAATATTTTTCTTATGTTGTATGTTATCTCACGCAACATAAAAAAAGTAGGTGAGACCTACTAAAAAGAAGAGAAAAAAAATGGATCTACGTAATTCACATTAAATATATCCCAAATCCTAATATCCTATCACAAATTTTGCTACTATTTCAAACTAAGTCTTCACTTCTGATGAAGCATCTATAACAATAACCACCACGACGCCATAGCCCATATACTCCAATTAACACAAACACCGCCCTCTCTCAGTAACAATTGACAACCATTTTAGGAACAAGAATATGCCCTTCCCACCAAGAGACCAACATGACATCATCACTCATATTACAACTTCTATTTCCCCACTAGAGGATTGACAAATCTCATATACGAGGATAATATATGAGACATTCTAATTACTTACGGATAAATCAATAATATTGAGATATGAGATAAAAAAAATATTGTGATAGCAAGTAATAAAATCATCATAATTGATTTGCCAAGGATTAAGATCACCATCTCACATAAACTTCTCTGAAGAAAAATAAAAATAACTTAAAAATGCATAATTAAGTTTCTAATGGAATGCATCATATATGACTCAAACAAAGGGGAAGGTTATGCGTACAACCTATTTTCGTTTACAACTTCTTACAATCATATCTTAACCGTTGATTTTCGTCAATCAACGATTATCATTTATTGCGAATTAATAATTAATTAATAAATTTAATTTGCGAATATCTTAACCGTTGATTGACGGAAATCAACGGTTAAGATATGGTTGTAAGAGGTTGTAAACGAAAATAGGTTATAAGTATAACCTTTAACTTTTTTTTGGAAAAAAAAGAAAGAAAGTGTAGTACTTTTTTTATAATGAGAAATTTATATTTCTAAGTGGATGTTTTTGTTTCTCCCCTGGAAGAAGGGGGACGAGTATGTTGTTAAAACTTGTAACCAAAAACCAAAGAGTAAACTA